TGTAGTTTCCCTTTTTAGTTTATATTGATGACATACATCTATTTTAACTGAAAGTTGTTTCCATTGGCTTAGATGGCAATACATTGTGGACTAAAGGGGATTAATGTGCGTTGCAGATGTTTTCTGTTCAGGAGCTTTTTCTGAAGTATGCCAGTCTAAGAAAAAAATAGGTTTGATTATTCATTAAAACTATGCGGTCTCCTACTTTGTGCAAGCAAACTTATGCATTGCAGCTTCCTCTTCTGCTGCTCACACACCCTTCCACATCTGCTCAAGATCTTTGGGGGGGCATGCTGTAGAGAGAAGGAAGGTGACGTTTTATGCATGAGATAAAGCATGTTTGGTGGCATAGGCAGCGGCTGTTTTAGGCTCATCCAATATGTTTGGGACCACACTGAACCAAAAAGTGCCCTGAAAAGTCATAAGAAAGTCAAAAAAGGGAGCAGAATGGGGTGGGACTGCCTTACGCAGGCCCCACTGACGTGTTGGGGGGGTCTGAAATGTAACCCACACACAGTTGGTCGTTGCCTGTAGATGGATATTTTTCAATTACATTTGACAATGTGCTCTTTACTCAAATTCTAAAACTTTTATTCACATCTATTTTTAGCGATAGAAATGCACACAGCTGTTAAAATCTGCCATAGTGTAAAAAATGGGGGGGGGGCAGCAACACTGCTTTTACAGCATTCATAAATACATTCTTTATCAAGAGAACAAACATATGGTAATCCTGTTATATTAATTGCTTTTATAGGGATAAGAAATAAAAAGCAAGCATCTTTGGGTTGGGCGAAATATCTCAAAACATCATAGATAAATTTGATGCTTGCTTATATTAATTGACTTAATGGATATTTAATAGCATTCATTTTAGACTTGGTTGGCTTGTTAACTTTTTTCTCTCTTAGATATAACCCCTTGTATGTTTTTAAATAAATCTGCAGTGCAAACACTACTTAATGTTTTCAGTACTATTTTGTAGAAAATTTGCCATTACAGTGGTGCCTCGCAAGACGAAATTAATTCGTTCCGCAAGTTTTTTCTTCTTGCGAGTTTTTCGTCTTGCGATGCACGGTTTCCCATAGGAATGCATTGAAAATCAATTAATGCGTTCCTAGGGAAACCACCTTCAGACCAGGTCCGGGGACAGTCTGTCCCCCGACCTCTTCTGAAGGCTGGGGGGGGGGGAACAAGGGCTTTTTTGTTCGCTCCCGCCCGCCAGCATTTTAAGATCGCCCGGGGCAGCGGAGAAGTCTCCGCTGTCCCGGGAAGGCAGGCGGGGGGGAGCAAAGACGGCCGGCTGTGGGCGAAAGTCTTTGCTCCCGACCGCCAGCAATTTAAAACAGGTCCCCGGAGATTTCCCTATGGGCTTTCGTCTTGCGAAGCAAGCCCATAGGGAAATTCGTCTTGCGAAGCGCCTCCAAAACAGAAAACCCTTTCGTCTTGCGGGTTTTCCGTCTTGCGAGGCATTCGTCTTGCGGGGTACCACTGTACTTGTTTTGTTGCCAAAGTTGTCATTATTTATATTAATAACTTTATCATCACAAACTTGTAAACTGATATAAAGACACAAGAGATAATTCAAGATGTGTAGCATAGGGCAAGAGTTGATCAAGAATGTTTAGAGCAGAAACAAGAAGGTGAATAAGAATGTCTGAATGGATATAAGAGATGATTTGGAAGGGAGCCAAAAACAAACGACATACCTAACTGTCAGTAAGAAAAATAATAACCAAGCAGTGAGATAAGATGGTGTAGAAGGGATATGGCAGTGGAAACTTCAAATGATGGCAAAATAGAGAAAATCTACCAATGGGATAAGATCAAGAATTTGACTTGACTAATGAGTACAACACCTCAACATTGTACCTCCTCTAAGGGCAGCTATATGCATTGGATTTGTATCTGACCTCAACCCCACCCCCCTGCAATCTGTGCTATATACTGCAATAGGTAGGAGAGGTAGGTAAAATTGGCTAACCTGCCGCTCACAAGCAGAAAGAAAGTCATCATTGGATACGACCCAAAACACAACTTAAGCTGTTGTGAATATGCATAGATGACTTTCACCATGCAGATCCACTTGGAGAGGGGGACAGGAAAGCATTTGGCCCATGACCTCAAGCTCAAAGGACACATTATAAGTAGACACTTGTGGGGTTGTGGTGGCTTATTGTTGGGTGGTTGTGGTTTTGGCGTTTGGTGGGTTTTCCAACTTGTTTTTATGCATATTGGGCCAAATTGGAGCTGCAAATTTAAACAGATTAGATTCGTGATTTAGTAAAAGGCAAAACATTTTGCTTAACTGGTATAGATTTTGTCAGACGCTTAAAAACATTTGGAAAGTAGTCAAATTATTCCCACTCCTCCCTTTCCTTATTTTTTGTGTTTTCATTTTTTATTTTTATCATCGCTAGTAAGAGTGGAGGCTGGTCCATCAGGGCAACCAGGGCTTAGCCCTACTTACTGATAGGTTTTTCAGTTTTTAAAGAATTTCCCCAAATCTCAAAGCCCATAGTCTTTATTCTGTACACCGTTCCACAATCCATTTGAAATTTGAGAGGCTCCTCCTAAAGGCGTTTCTGGCCAATCTAGTCTCTGTGCCACTCAACCAATCTCAACCCCAAATTATTACTGTGGCCATGAGGACCCACTCAACTGTTCTAGGCAGAAAAAACCTTGGTAATGAATTTGTATCTTATCAGAGCTACTGGCTCTTGGTCCTGGTTGTGAAGTTTTCTGCTCTCTCTTGTTGTCATGATGGCAACTGTATGATGTATATAACCTTAGCAGGTCTATCCTTTTGTTAGACCTGGGAACTAGTACTTCTGTTCTGAGCATGCTGAGCAAGGCCACACCTCCACACAACTAAAAGTACATTCTTTGTAGCTAGCCAGGAGAAAGGTGTGGTTACTAGTTCAGGCATGTTGTTTTTGATCAAGACTTGTTAAGAGACAGCAATGGTGCACACAGTGCGAGTCTTTCTACACTATCTATTTTTACTTAATCATTTGAGCTTATTTTTTGAATGGTTCAGATGAGAACTCATTGTGCAAAGCAAATACGTATTATGGGAACATGGATCGCACCCTGCCTGTACAACTCAACCAGTCAGGCCTCTCCCAGCAGATAATCACACACCTGATTTGCTCAGGACCTTCATGTAGAGCCCAATCTTTGTGGGCCTGAATATGTCCCAGACCTCTTTTTTATTTTTAGGAGTTTTTCATGTTTCCAAACCTATCCTCCTACCCCAATTCAAGATTAGGAACAAGGAGGCTGGAGAAAAACATTTTATTTGTAGTATTCTTTTAACAGTGTTCTATTTATCCATTCTTTCCTCCAAGAAGTTCAAGGTGGAAAATTCATGAATATTCTTTTCCCCCTTTATCCTTAGAACAAACTGTTGAAGTAGGTTAGGCTGATGGAGAGTAGCTGTCCCAAGGTCACAGAGTGAGCTTCATGACTAAGTTGTGATTTTAATACTGATCTCTCAGCTGTTAGTCCACTTTAAAAAATCTTCATTTTTTCCACATTCTGGAAAAATGTGTCTAGATTTCTCCATTGATTACTTCAGATGACTGATTTCTAGTGGGGCTTTTCAAAAACAGGTACTTCATGTTAGCTTTGCAATTTTGTCTGTGGTTTTATTTAGAGATAAAAGAATTATTGACTAAAGAATCTTAAATGTCACTGGGTGAATTGCTCCTTCTTTGCAAGATTAAAGTGAGTTGAAATGTATTGTAGCACCGATAATGTAAACATAATTCAGTAGTAACGAAACCAGATTGCTTTAGGTTTGTGCTACATTTATAGATGATGGATCCCACTGATTGGTGGGATTGTTAAAATATGTACAGACAGTGACCAATTTATGTGGGGGATACATTCCAAGGCACATGTGCTTATGTGGAATCACATATAATTGGAACGCCCACTGGGAAAGCTTGCAAACACCCTTGTTCTACCCCCACCCCACCCATTTTGTGATTTTTTTGTTCACTTCAGGGTTCGGCACATGCAATCACACACATATCGGACGAGCCTAAAATGGTTGCTGCCTGTATTTGAGTTTCAGATGATGAGAAAAAATCAAATATTTTGGTTACCTTTCACGTTAAATAATTAGAGAAATTCAATGTCATGCCAAAAGTCTCATTGGTGACATTTCTATTGTAACTTCACAAGTTTCCGACAACATCAGATCCATTCCCTATAGTAGAGGGCTCCAGCTGGACAGTTACATATTTTGAAATATATTCTTTTATAGTCTATTTCTTAAGAGGGCTACTGTTGCGTAAATGTTACTTCTGTTCTAAAAACATTTCAGCAAGAAACTTTATTTTGCTATTAGTGTTTGTAGTTTTTCAAACAACAATAGCTCACAACTACAATTATTCTGCTACTTTTTATTTATTTACTTTAAAAACCATTTGAGATGCATGCCAAGTTGAGGTAAAATCATAAGTACTGGGAACAGAACCTAAACTACCTGAACACCTTAGGTCCAGGGTATCTCAGGATTTGTCGGTCCCTTGTATCCCAACTTGACCAATGAGATCATCTGCAGCAGTGTTATTGACTGTTTCCCAGGTTGGTGAGGCTCATTTGACAACAAGAAATCGAGCTTTTAATGTCATCAGCCCAGTCCTGTGGAATAGAGATTCAGCAGGCATCTTCTGTGCTAACCTTTAAATGCCTGCTGAAAACATTTCTATTCTGCAAAGCCTATGCAGGGAATTAAGAATCCATTCTTGCCCCAATTGTTAATTGATGTCTTAACAGATGGTTTTTATTGTATGGTTTTATGTTTTATTGCTCTAACAATCTGATTTTTAAAAAATGACAGCCATATATAAACACGTTTGTTAAATAAATAAATGGTGAAGAATATACGTATATAGTATTGATAAATTTAATGCTGTTTTGTTCTGAACACCCAAAACATGTTGCAGCCTTATTGAATGACTTGGTTTGTAATTGATTTCCCCATGTAGGTGCCATACTAGGCAGATCAGAGACACAGGAGTGCATCTTCTACAATGCTAATTGGGAAACCGATAAAACAAATCGCAGTGGCATTGAACTGTGTTACGGTGATAAAGATAAAAGACGACATTGCTTTGCAACATGGAAGAATATTTCTGGAACTGTTGAAATTGTGAAAAAGGGTTGCTGGCTGGACGATATTAACTGTTATGACAGGCAAGCTAACTAATACTACTTTTTCATTTGTTATTCATGTATGTGTTTAAAAAGTAATGCTTGAATAAAGTCTGCACAGCTTATAGTTCAATTGGGCAGCTTCAAACCCAGAGCGTCTTGATCTTACAGAGCCTTTTAACGTAATGCCAACCCAATTTTTTGAGTGTCACTATCTCAGCACTTGCCATTTGTAACTTTAGGGTGCTGGCAAACATACATTCAAACATACAGAAGTCGGCGTTGTCAATAACCACCACCTGTACTACGCCCACAAATTTCAACCAATTATCACTTACTCTTTATTGTCTGGAAACAAAAAGAAATGCATTGGATTTTGCCATTGGGATTCATTTATTACCTTAGTCAGTGTTAGCAGATTGGGGTAGTAAATCATCCCACAGTTTTTCATAAACAAATGGTTGAAGAAACGTCAAGCAAGTGCCAGTATGTTGGCATAAGCCATATAATGTTGTTTGGGGACAGTTCTCTAACCAAGGACAGCTTTCTTGCAGGTTTTTTAGTGGGGTTAGAAAAACACGGTTAAAGTTAGTTTTCAGTTGAAATACCGTTTTTTTTCTAGTCAGCAATATTTTACAATATTTTTTATAGCACTTACACTTTGTATGTTTGTATATCGGGAGGTTTTTAACGCTTGATATTTTATATTTTTAGATATGCGGCAAGCCACCCAGAGTGGCTGGGGAAACCCAGCCAGATGGGCGGGATATAAATAAATTGTTGTTGTTGCCGCTGCTATTATTATTATTATTGTTATTTTATTTTATTAATTTATTAATGTAATTGAAAATAAATACCATAGCTGTTAAAGATACAGAAAGCATGTTGTCTACTCAATATGCAGGGGCAAATGCTTACTGCACAAATTCTGATCTTTAAGGTGCTACAAGATTCCTTGTTGTTCATCAACAGATAGCGGCTGTTTGAATGAAACCATTAATTTAGAAGTTGACTCATTCTAGTTTTAGTGGACTGATATATTAAAATTACTTTCTACTCATATTTAGTACCAGAATTTCAAGTTGTGCCAGACAAGATACGCAAGGATGGTGATTTTTTCCCCTCTGTTTTTAAAAACTGGGGGGGGGGGTACCTTTGGGGATGGCAGAAGGAATAGATTCCCTTTGGAATAGATTTCCTTCAGAAGCCACCACATCAAGACTTATTGTGCTATTAGAGGTGGGAGTGAAAAAGTGCAAGCACTGATAGGATTCCCCCCCCCCGCTCCCAATACCTGTAGATAAACTTTCTGTCAGCTTTTCAAAATGAGGCTTTCACTTATATATCCAAGGGCTAGCAGAAACTGAGTTATCACGTCTTCCTCTCCCAAGTCCTGCAGATCCTCTTTTGAAGGATATACTCTGCTGAATATGGTGGGCTGTGGTGGTAGAGAGCTGAGAAAGGGGAGGTGGGTGCAGAGTCCCTGAAAACGGGGTTGAGCCACCATCCATTGTCAGGATTGAACCCTGTAACTTATGTAGATATACTTCTCAGTATACTTATATATAGAGTAATTTTAAAATGTAGGTTGGTAGATAATTAATTTGTGATATTAAAAGGTGGGTGAATTTTATTGTATTGGGGGGGACAGTATCCTGGGTGAATATGTTCTGATTCTTCTGTATAAGATAGTGTAAAAATAATAACAGTGGATCATTTAACATGTTAAACTAAATTAAAACAAGAGAAGAGATGTAGTAAAATACAAAGTGTGAAATCACAGTAGCATATTTTCAGTCCAGTCTTAATTGGTGCAAGTTCCATAGTTTTCAGCCTATGAAAGTCAACTTTCCAAAAACATCCAGGGGGTGCCAGGTTGGGGAAGGATGGCATGCTAAAATTATTCTGAAAAGAAGCTACTTTGATTCATACTTTAAATTAAGGTTCAGCTGAAATGGAAGTTCCTTTTAACAAAATGTTTTGCACCTGCCACTTGAAAGGAGGCATTCTATAGTACACACAGTTCTTCTTTCTTGGCAGAGATGGAGGCAGATCAGCCTCTATATATATTGAGTAGCTTGTGTCTTTTAAAGTGGCTCCTAGGACTTTAAAGGTCCACAGCAATATGCACAGCATGATCTGCAGCAGTATTAAAAGGGAAGCAATGGGCAGTGTGATTTGCTAAGAGTGGTGAATGGATCACAATTTCGTAGTGAAAGGTAACCTGCTGCTTGGGAGGAAATGTCATGCATTCTGTAACATCACCTTACATCACAATAAATGAGCCAAATGAAAAGTTGGTACAGATCTGGTTTAAACACCTGCAACAAGGATATTCAAATGTAGATTCATGACGCAATGTTTTAAAAGCAGATATTTTATTACTTTGCATTAGTTGCTGGAGACTCATTTTTGTGTAGTTATACTATTGTAAAATGAAGATGAGTAACTGGTTTTAAACCCTTTCAGAACCGACTGTATAGAAAAGAAGGACAGTCCTGATGTGTTTTTTTGCTGCTGTGAAGGCAACATGTGCAATCAACATTTTTTCTACTTTCCAGAAATGGAGGTCACACAACGTAAGTTCAGTTTTTCTAGTTAGTCACGGTTAGTCACAGTTCAATTTCTGCAACATTGAGAAATGTTATTTTCCCTCACTTATTTGTGCTGATCTTAAGAGAACTTCTGTTAATAAGAACTTTTATAATCATTCAAATGAAATCTTAGTTATCCAATTTCAGAAGGACTTTGTAACATTAAAAGCTACATGCTTGTAAATAGCTGTGTTTCCAATGGTCTTCAGTCCATAAATATCCTTTGTAACAATTTCATGTCTTGGTCACTGATCATAATAGATGTCTATACACAGTAATAGGAGTAGTTCAGTTTGGACATAATGTAATCATATTTACAGGAACAACAATAAGAACAAACCATGGAGGCCATTGGGTGTTCTGTTCCTGTTCCCTTTCCTTCCTCATCTCTTTCCTGATACATCACTCTGAAAAGAAGAGTGGAAGCATATACTTCCATTTTGTTGCATTGGTAGTTCAAACTATGCTTATTGCAGGGATGACTAACCTTTTGACAACTGGGGCCAATGGGAGTAAGAGTCCTGGAGGGCCACAAGTTTGCCACTCCTGGTTATATTGAAACAAGCTGGGTTCAAACAGTGGTCTGTCATACTGGCTTGTTTAAACTAACCAAAGTTTCCTGTTCAGATGTAACCAACATCAGTTAATTGAAACCTGGAAGAGGAGATTCTTCGAGTCTCTTGGCCATACCAGAGGAGGACTGGGAAGTGAGCAGGTGTGAGGCTCATTCCCATAACACTAAACTATGGTTTAGCATTGTGGCTGAAATGGACTAAATTAGATGTACTGTAAATAGCGTGAATCAAATTCAAAGATATTCCTGCAAAATCAATAAACTTTTCACTGAATGCAAGTGGTAAATATGAACTGGCAAACACTAAACAGCTACTTTATATAACGTTTTGCTAAATTTAGTACTTAAAGCACAAAGGGTAAAATTATTCTTAACATTCACTTTGTCATTGATTCATACTGAAAATAACTTCTCAGCAAGAATTTAAGCATTTTGATCATTCTTAAATTTGCGAACTATTTTTAAGTATCCTTAGAGGGTCTTAAAGTAGTTATGTGTCTGACACATGGGAGATAAAGTGATACTGCTTTCTGGAGCAAATTCTGCTGATGAGATAGAACACAAGCTTTCAAGTCTCATAACATATGTCAAGTATAAATGAATAAATGGGCACAATGAAAGCATCTTAAATGAAAGTTGAAATGCGAGCTTAAACCTTTCAGTGTTTAACCTTTGATCTGATTTAATCCATTGATATCATGATGCTCTTTTTCATATTAAGTCCATTTTACATTTCTCTGTTTTTAAGAATTGGTACTTTTCTGCTTGGTATTACGCTGTCAGAAGACTAACTGGGAACTTTTCTCCCCTGCAGCTACTTCCAATCCTGTTGCATCTAAACCACCCCTTTTCAGTACCTTGCTTTATTCTCTTGTGCCTATAATGGGAATTGCAGTGATCATACTGGTTTCATTTTGGATGTACCGACACCACAAATTAGCATATCCTCCAGTACTTGTACCAACCCAGGTAAGCCAGTTATTTTGATCTGAATTCATTTGTTGCAGAAAGATGATGGTGAGTGACTGGATCTAATGACTAGGATCAAAATAAGTATGAGTGGAGTTCTCCTTCAGCGGTGGCTTCTTCTCTAGCTTCTCATTTTCACTGCAACGTCTTGCTCTGTTGAGAGTTTTGGAAGTGTCAGCATGTGGTGTGGAAGTCTTCCAACTAGAGAAAGGAGTTTGTGGAAACTGGGGGCTTCTTCCCCAGCCCTTGCATGAATGAAGGTGTCCTCTGTTCCCTGAAGTGACTGCCAGGATGGTGGTTGAATGTTCTGCATAACTAATCCATTGTAAACTTCATCTCTGTCTTCTGGGATTCATTCATTAGAAAATTACAGAGATTTTAGACTTAAAAAACAAACATGTAGGTTTTGGTCTTGGAAGTATTAAGCATTAGAATCTAAAAGGTAAAGGGACCCCTGACCATTAGGTCCAGTCGTGACCGACTCTGGGGTTGCGGCGCTCATCTCGCTTTATTGGCCGAGGGAGCCGGCGTATATCTTCCGGGTCATGTGGCCAGCATGACTAAGCCGCTTCTGGCAAACCAGAGCAGCACATGGAAACGCCGTTTACCTTCCCGCTGAAGCGGTACCTATTTATCTACTTGCACTTTGACGTGCTTTCGAACTGCTAGGTGGGCAGGAGCTGGGACCTAACAACGGGAGCTCACCCCGTTGCAGGGATTCAAACCGCCGACCTTCTGAACAGCAAGTCCTAGGCTCTGTGGTTTAACCCACAGCGCCACCTGCGTCCCTATTATTCTAACATTAGAATCTAGCAGCATCTTAAGAAATGTTACTCTAGAAGAAAGTACTTCTTCACTCCCTGCATAGTTGGAATTATGGAACAGTAGTGGCCCACCAGCTTGAATAGCTTTAAAAGAGGATGAGACAAATTCATGGAATATAAGGCTATGTTCCATTTCCACTGTTAGAGGCAGTTTTGTAATTTTGTGTTTTGCCATGCCCCCATGGCAGCTACTTAGTGACTGATGTCTGCAGCATTGGCTCAGAATTCAGAATGTGCCTACTTCACAACCTGTAGCATAGAAAGTCACTGGAGAAAAAATCCAGTTCATTAAAACTTAAATTTACTGAACTAAAATTAAAAGTGAGGCGGTCTGTTATATGTGTCGTAAAGGCAGGGCACACAAGCTTTACACATGATGCTGAATAATTTGATTGTATTCAGGCATTAGTCGTGTTGTTTAATAAGCTGAGATAAAAGCAAGTCTCTTGGCTGTGCATGCAAACAGGAAGCTCTGAATGTCCTGTCAGATAGCTAGAAGTGGATACAATCTGTGACAAGGGAGGTGATGCTTTTGGTGAAGCTATGATTACCACTTGAGCTTGTTTCAACTAGTGCATTATTCAGTGCTGATACATATTATCTTGGTTTCTCTGGAATCACCTGTTTTTAAAATTAACTTCCCTTTTGCCTTTACTTCCTTTTTGTCTCTACTTGTTGTTGTTGTATGTGTGCATGTACACATTTGCATGCATGTACGTGCGCACGCACACACACACACACACACACACACCAATGCACCTAAGTTAGTCATGGACATTAACTTGAGTGAGTCTAGTCTGAGTTGGACTAGCATTGATTACTACCTATTGTGTTTATAAATCAGAAAATAAACATGATCTGATTTTTAAAAAAGAATTGTTCCTATGATACAGATTTTATAGGATTGAATTCTACAATGGACTCGATCCCATAAAATATTATTGATAATAATATACAGATTCTTATTAGCATTTTTGTTGCAGAAATTTGGCTAGATGTAGAGCTTTTGATGTAAACTCATTAATGCAACAGTACAGATGAGGATATTGACACATTTGCACCAGGTGTAAGGAGGGTGCCCATATGTTAAGATTATTGCAATGGAAAAGGAATTGTTCATGATATACTGGTCTTTTTTATATTAAAAGCCTAAAGGTCAAATGGTTTCCCTTGGAGATGAGCACTAGCTCATTTTTATGAAGTATCTCTCTTAGCTGACCAATTTGGAATCATTTTGTGTAAACACTGTTAAGAACTAAATTGCTGTCAGTGTTTGCTGCTGCACAGTGATCTCTTCTAGTTTGAGGGCTATTTTAAGCATGTTCAGGTGGTACAGTACTTCTCAAAAGCATGCAGGTTGAGAGTGCACATGGGAGAAATAATTTTAAAATGTACCTCCACACCAGAATCCTCCTTCATGTTGGTTTAAATAGGCTGCTTAATTTTGGAAGTTTTCAGAGATCTTCTTTCCACTACACCCAGTTTCCTCATAGATTTGTCTCTATTACATGTTTCAGCTGCAATTTTCAGCACTTAAAAAATGCAGCTCAGTTCAGGAAAGAAAGTTTTGAATTTTGCAATAGTAGCTGATGGTTTATAGATAACTTTATAAGCTTCTGTTTTCTATGAACCAGCTGTGTTTAAAAGTTTACATATGTAATTTGATGAATAAATATTGTCATAAAACAATTTTGCGGGAGCTAGTTAATGTGAGGATACTGGGTTTCATAAGGCTAGCCTGCATCTACTGTTGCATGGTGGCTATTACTTAAATTGAATGTGCAAAATCATTCTTAGTAGCAAAGGGGAGTTTATTTACTGTTCTGGTTCCTTTAAAAGTGGCTCATCTTTCTCTTAGTTTATTGTTAAACCAAGCTTGTGTTGCAAACACTTAAAAGCATGGTTCTGATTAAAAATGAAAGTGGTGAAATGAAGTTGGTCTTTCCATGACAATAACAGCAACAGTCATGGGAAACTTGGAGTATTTCCATGTTTCAAGAGTGTCCTAACACAAAGTGCAAAGTGGAGGGATAGTGCAAGTCTGATTCTCAAAGCCTGTTGTCTCATGCTGCTGTGGAATGGGTTAAAAGGCCTGCCTGCCTTCCTTCCTTCCTTCCTTCCTTCCTTCCTTCCTTCCTTCCTTTTGTGGCATTACTTTTTTTAAAAAAAATAATTAATTTATTCTTAGTACTTAACTGTCGTACGTATTGACAGTTGTTCATTTATTTTTTTAAAGTATACCCCGCCTTTCATCATTGTCATTACCAGGTTACAGCATGACATAAAAAAAAAGAAAATCAGTAAAATGAAAACAACAAAAATCAGTAAAACAATTAAAAACAGCTCAAGCAAGAAGACTTAGCTTTTTAGATTTTGTAAACTTCTTCCTCACTCTAAACTGATGCCTCCTTTCATTCTCTGAACATAAAATTTCAGTTTATTACTAACTTAATATTTATTATACTTAAAATATTACATTCTCAAGGCTGCCTATATTATACATATTGCTGGTGTATAATATAAAAATACATATGCAGTACATAAATATCAATATATTAATGCCCTGAACTTAGCAGATGTGTTGGCGTATATCTAAAATATGTAAGTGTATCGGCACTGCAAATAGAGGTAGTTGCAGCGTTTCAGAAATGGTTTTGTTCTGCACATTATTCCTTGATGTACTGATAGATTTTGGTGTTGGACAGTTTATCCTCTGAACAAAGCTTTTCGATATTGTGATTCTGTTCCTAGAATTACATGTTCCTTTCCGTTCCCATCCTCTTCTCTGTCTAGATTCTTTTTCAGCTTTGTCCTGTCTTTTTCTCTGCAGCTCTACTCTTTCCAGCGAGCCCTTATATTTCATTTCCATCCGGAGATAAAGGAGGATGTCCTCTTTTGTATATTATATCCCACTTCTCTTGTCAGCAGGATCTAGGCCTTTTTGTTCATATTTGTAAAAACTGCCATATTCTGCTTCTGAATACTGTTGGTCTTTTACTAATTTACTTTTTGATGTTGGTGTTTAGTAATATGAGGGTTGCCTATTACCACTGTAGGTGGTTAATGTGGGTTGTAGCCACCTTTTTATTTCCTTTATTTCTTGTAATTTTTTTTATTGCTCATTCCCATTGGTGCTCAAGTAAAAGTGAACTAAATACAAATGATCTTTCAAAAATAAGCGAGAATCCATAAATAGGACATAAATGGTTTAAAGGTTTTTTTAAAAAAATATACCTTAGGCTCCAGATTTTGTTTCAGAAGCTCTGGAGTTTGTACAGTCATTGCCAGCATAAAACTTAAATGAAACTGAGGGTTTTACTGAGAGTAATTTAATAGCAAGTCAGAGAACAAAACTGAGAGAAAGCAGTGCATTTATAATGTTTTTTTTAGTTGACCTCCCAGAATAGAAGTATTAACTCAAAAAGTAAAAGTTCACTTTAAAAAGAAAGTTAAAATAGAGTTGTGTTTTTGTTTTTCTTATTATTATTTTTGGATCTCACTTCAGAATGTTTTAAGCTACTATTAGATGATGCAATGCTGCCCTCTGGTGTAATGTAGAAACATATCAAATTCTTCATACTTGCATATTACTTTAGACAAGTTGAAAAGTTCATAGTAATGTCTATAAAATCATCTGTTTAATTGGTGATTGAACCCATGTTCGAAACTCCCATTGGTCCTACGCATGTTTTGCGACAAGGAATTTCATTAGTACAAGCAGTTTCTGAGCTCTGGGCACAGTACTGCACCTAAGATTTCAGATTAAAACTGCAAAGTGGAAGGAAAGGAGGGCCTTTTTCTGCCTCCCAAATTTCAGCCGCTCTCTGAAGACTGGAAAAGAGACCCTCTTAAGAATATGAGGGGGTTGGGCAGGGGAAGGACTAGACCATGTGAAAAATGAACATAATATTTTAGCTGCAGTTCATTCATTTTCAGCTTTGTATTCTTGTTATTAAAAAAAGTGTGCCTAGACTTTCCATTGTTGTGGCCATATCTCAGTTTCTAACACTGGATTCAACTTACTAGTGCTATGACTGCATTCTAGTACATCACTGAGATTCTGCTACAATGGCAGCATGCTCAGATTTATTTGACATTGGTTATTTTGTGGAAACTTTATAAAATATCGATTTGAGCATTTGATTCTAAATACAGGATATTAAATACTGAAATTTCATTTGTGTCACACTGAAACTATTGCTGCATCTCTTACAGTCAAAGGAGAATTAATGTAAATTCTTGGGTGATTTTAGTTCTTGATTTTTCTTAAAGGGATCTATACAAAATCTTAGCAGTAACTTTTTAGTGCTTTCCTTTTATCACTTTTCCTAAGCTTGTCCTTAATTTTTGCTGTATGAAGTAATATTCTTTTGCCTGTGTGTTCTTCTTTACAAGCACGCCTTTCATATAATGATAGAGGTAAGAGGCATTGTTTTATTCATAGCCATTTATTTGTGGAGTTGTAGACTGGGCCAGGACCTGGGCATTTATAAATGTTTGAGCTAAAAAAAAATCATATACGGGAATTCTAGAAAGTACAGCTAGATTTCGTTCCTACAAATTGTTCTTTGTTTCTGTATCACACTATCTGGCTATGACTTGTGATGGCATACCCCAGCATTTTAAGTAGAATAATTTTAATATTGTGCCAACTACAATCAACATGGAATTTATATTCTCTGGGGTCAAATTTTATATTGACATATATGCTTTGCTTCTTGTTTTCAATGAGGATTTATTAGTTATTAGTAACTCCTGTTTTTATAGCTATGGCATGTTGCTAGAAGAAAATATCCAGAAAATGTGAAATAAATGGAAGTTGTAGTTTGTCTATGACTGTAATTCATAGATTATTATTGGTAAAGGAAATAAATTAATGGCTTGATTCAGTTTGCTAAAGTCAGAAAGCAGAACCCCACAATATATTTGAAAGTTGCCCTTTGTAACCTTTTATACAGGGGCTAGTAAAGAGAGCTACAGAAACAGCAATTCATTAGTTTAACCTCTTGCCAGCTTTAACATTTGCTGTGCTGTGCTGCAAAGATCAGAGCTTGGAATTGAATGGAGGGTGTGTTCAGGGTACTGACAAATTTGTACACTGACAGCTGCAAAGGGGTAGGAACATATGGGAGAAAGCCTTGCTTCCCTTTGGTGTCTCCACCCACCCCGACTGCAAGAATTGAGAGTAGGTGGGGAGGGGGAACAAATAATTGACCTGGCCTCCCTCCGCCCCTCAATGTTTGATGTGAAAAGGATAAACACATTGAGAAGTGGTTTTTATTCCATGGAAACCGTATCCCCTTCCTTGAGCAAGGCCCTGATGGGTGGTGAGGAGTGCACCTTGCTCCAGTAAAAGAACAGCTGGGAGCCTACCTTAATCTCCCGATTGTCCTTTGAAGGGCTGCCGTTAGTGACCCCACACCTGATTTGTGTAGGTTGGGTTGGTGTGGCTTCCCCAAAACAGCCTCTCGGGCCAAATGAGGAAGGCTGGTAGCCCAAGTTTGGGCTGGAGGTTCCCCACCTTTGGAGTAAGGGCGAGGCAAGCTAGGTAGGAAGTTGCATATTAAAGGTAGAAGTTGGCTCTTTGAGAAGGAGCTCTTCTGTAAAGGAAAGAAGGAATAAAATTTGAACAACTGCCTTCCCTCTGGCTGAGTCCAAAGGGTGCCCAAGACTTGTTCTCCCCTCCATGTATACAGCAAAGTGGGATGGGGAATCCAGGTGACATTTCTGTTATATACACAGCAGAAGTGGGAGTCCATATAGATCAGGGGTGGCCAACTCCCAAGAGACAGAGATCTACTCACAGAGTTAAAGGCTGGCAGTGATCTACCCCCTTTTGTGGGGTTCAGGTCAAAGTTGTTAAGCTTTTTAGGGAAGAGGAAGTGGGGGGCAAAAACGTTGAGCTTCTTTGGGGGGAGCCAGTGATCTACCACATACGTCCAGTGATCTACCGGTGGATAATGATCTACCTGTTGGACGTGCCTGATATAAACAAACTGCTCTTTATGTATTTGCATAACTTGGTTATCATTTGGAAAATTTGTTCCACATATTTGGTCTTGTGTGGCTAAATCTTTTCTGATATCTATTCATTGTCAAGCAAAACTGCCTCATAGAAGAGGGAAGCCTGTGTTTGTTTAGGTAGGAAATGTCTAAAATAGGCACTGTAGGTTTTTATAGTGTTAAATAATTTTTTAGTTTTAAATGAAATGGTATGCTTGCCTAAAAAGTAGTCTTGCCATCTCATCTACCCTGCAATTACACCTAGCAGGAGTAGTCACAACCTGTATGCTGAATGTTACAGAACCTGATACACGCAGCTTAAAGGGCCTCAGGTGACCACTTGAGTTCTTCAACAGTTCTCTTGGATGATAGTTTCACCTAGGAAATACTTGGTGCTTGATGTATGGTTGCTTATTGTAATGTGTTTTAGAAATATTTTTTTCAAGGAGACACAGGTGCAGCCATTCAATTATCTCAACAAATACGATCTTGGTAAGGTTTGGGACACTGCTGTATTAAAAGCCCAGTTTGCCTTCTGCTGTAAATTTTATTGGCAGAACTTGAAGCCCTCCCCAATGTGTATGTTTCCCCTTCTCCACGCTAGAGGATTGTAGTACAGAAAACTAGAGTTTAATGGGTTTATCTGTTGTTTCTAGGATCCTGGACCACCACCTCCATCGCCACTGATGGGCCTGAAGCCACTGCAATTACTAGAGATCAAAGCTAGGGGAAGATTTGGCTGTGTCTGGAAAGCTCAGTTGTTAAATGAATATGTAGCTGTGAAAATATTCCCAATACAGGTATATAAACATCCTTATTAAGTGCTACACTGCTGTGAATTACAACTTCTTTGCAAATTGTTACATGTACAATCCAGAGAAATGCTGGAATTTCTTCCTTACACTGCTCTGAAAAGAGTAATATTACAGCAACCTATGAGTATCTAGCTACCTATCTATCTAGGGTGCAGCAGCTCTAGGTATACCATGAATTATGAGACAAATCGGGGCGTTTTGAATAATTCTATTTTATTTAAGTTTGATTTCACTGTTAATAAGGCATCATATGGAGCTGCATCAGAGACTCTCTAAACTTTGGAGTGGGTTGGAGACTAGCTTTTGAAAGTGCATGCCCACCCTCCATGCAAAGCTAACTGAGGAAATGGGAGCTTCCTAGAGTGGCTGGGGAAATCAGGCAGATGGGTGGGGTATAAATAATAAATTATTATTATTTTTATTGTTGTTGTTAAGTTGAAAAGCAGCTTTTTGTCTGGGATTTAAATGAAGTTTATTATCATATGTGACACACATTAAGGGTCTGGCACCTTGATGTTAGTGTTACCATTTTTGCTAATTTCCATTGATTTCACTTACAACTAAGTTTGCAGTCTTAGCCTCACTTACCTGGGAGTAAGCCCCTTTGAATTCATTGAAACTAATTTGGGCTGTAATCCTAACCCTGCCTATCAAGAAGTAAGCCCCAATGAAATCAACAGTATTTACTCCCATGTAGTAGGGTTAGCTGGATACCTAACCCATAGACTGCAATCCTAACTTGTTCCATCAGTGCAAGGATTTCTACTTGCACAGTGGAATTTCCTGCCCTTCTGCCCCTACACCCCCTAAATCTGTTCTGGGGATACCATTGCACAAGCAAAAATCCTTGTCTTGATGGAACAAATAAGTTGGATACCATTCCTAGTCTGGTTCCAACCCATTGTGTCTAAATGGACACAGGTCCATATTTTCCAGGTCTCCTAAATTGCAAAGATTAGCAGTACTTAATTGGATGATTATATAAAAGACTGGTTTTCTTTTGACAGTGAATTAGGGAAACATTATGAAAATGCAGAAGAGATTTTTAATTGACATTTTGAATATATCAAAACACTTTTTTTCTTTTTAAGGACAAACAGTCATGGCAAAATGAATATGAAATATACAGCTTGCCTGGAATGAAGCATGAAAACATACTACAGTTTATTGGTGCTGAGAAACGAGGCACCAACATTGATGTTGATTTGTGGCTAATAACAGCGTTTCATGAAAAGGTTTGTTGTCTTTGTCAAGTACTACAGTTTTCATAACAGCCCCCTACTGCCCACCGTCTCTGAAAAAATGTTTGCTGTAAGAAAATGGATTTGGGGTATAGTCCTAAAGCATCTGTACTTCAACAGGCTATTAAAAGTAGTTCTGGCCCTCAAACAATGAGTGTTTGCTGCGAATGTATATGGCCAAAAGTGCATTCTTACTTCTACCATATTAGGCTAATGTTAAATTGTATTATGGATCTTGGAGGTGGAAAAGCTCAGCACGAAGTCCCCCACCCCCATATATATTACGTTTATCCTCCCATTCTTTAAAACAAACAAATATGCAGTGTGGTTTATATCCACAGAGCTAATGGCTTTTAATTCTACTTTCAGTTCTGTTGAACAGACCTTGTGGTGTGAAAACCATCTCTGTATTCCCACTGAGTTCCCTACCCTATGATCTTATGCACAGAGTATCTTGGGTATCTATGGTTTTAGAACTGTGGATGTAATTAAGATGGGTGCCTAAATGTGTATGCTATTCTCTACGTTCCTTGGAAATTTCCATGCACCTTTCCAGTTCTAAAGCCCATGCTAGCTTACCAGTGGCTATTTTTTCCCTTATGTGTAAATCTGGTAGAATTAGACTGAAAGGGAGTTCAGGATAACTGTCACATTGGAAATCAAACAGTTACCATGTCATCTCTAACAGGCGTGCATCCTAGTCAAGGCACTTATCAGAGCTGCATTCTAAATGTGTATGCAAACTTTGTTCTTGCAGCAGTACTGGAAATTGTGTGGCTCTGTCTTGATATTGCAGTGAATAAGGAGAAGCCTATGCTAGTCAAAAACACCTTTGTGTACATTGGAGCACTTGCAGAGATCTGCAGCTGGGACACTTGTACTAGTTGTTTTACAACTATATCTTGTTATAGCCAGTTTGGAGGGGGACGATGTTGAAAACCTGTAAGATGTAAAAAAAATTATTCTCTTTTGTTTAGGGTTCGCTTACTGACTTCTTGAAGGCTAATGTAGTCTCATGGAATGAGCTATGTCACATTGCGGAAAGTATGGCTAGAGGTTTGGCATACCTTCATGAGGATATCCCTGGTCTAAAAGATGGACACAAACCAGCTATATCCCATAGGTAAGAGATTTCACATACAGTGGTACCTCGGGTTAAGAACTTAATTTGTTCTGGAGGTCCGTTCTTAACCTGAAACTGTTCTTAACCTGAAGCACCACTTTAGCTAATGGTGCCTCCCGCTGCCGCCGGAGCACAATTTCTGTTCTCATCCCAAAGCAACGTTCTTAACCCGAGGTACTATTTCTGGATTAGCAGAGACTGTAACCTGAAGCATATGTAACCGAAGGTACCACTGTACTAGCTGAACTGTCACTGCATCTTAAATGTAAACAGAATAAATTAACTTCACACTCCTTCAGAGGTCCAGTAGTTGTATTATTTTATGTGATTGCATGACTGTAAGAAGTATATCATGTTTAGAGTTACGAAAAGCAACATTTGTGTGTTGGTTGCCAAATTTAATTGATAATATTTATTTTGACAGTTTATATATCATTTAGTTACAACTGTAGTGTGCAAAATACTCATTACGGTGAAAATAAAAAAACGAGTTAAAACGATAAAATTGTCATTAAAATAAAATAATTAAAATAAAAACAATTTAAATAGTATAATTTCCATCTCACTTACCTAATTCCAACCGCATCTGATGGGGGTAAGGTTTCACATAAAAAAAACCTTCAGGCCACTTTATAAATATGGTTCTGAAAGAGGAGGAGAACCTCAGGCCCAGGACCCAAATGTGCCCCCCCCCCCGCTTTATCTGGTCCACAGGATTCTCCTAAGCTCATCTCTCTCACTGGGGCTTCACTATGCCCTCCTGGAGTGCTGTGGCCAGGCTAGAACATGTCCTTGAACCTTGGTGATGCCTCTTGCTTGCCTGGATAGGGAAATGTGTGTGGATCTGAGGGAATGAAGCCCACTGGCTAAAAGCGACACACACACCCCGCTCTAAAAAGTGAGTTTAAAAGTGCCATCTGACACATTCATTTCTCTTAAATACTATTTTAATGATACTTACACTATGAAAAGCCACTTTTCCATTACATAAGCAGTGGAACAATACACCAGACACCAATATTAGTTTTGATGGATGAATGTATTTCTCATGGAGATGCTTGTGGCATTGAAGGGCAAGAAAACTTGTTACTCTCTAATTATATGACTGCGTATTTTACTACTAAAAACAGCAGGTGCCTTCACCCCTTCAGTTCAAGACTAGGGCTTAGGAAGAATACAAAAATAATTGTTTACCTGTGTTGAGTTGTGCCCAACGGCAAGGAGAGTTCAGGTTTTAGTTTTCCCATGCCTCCTTGCAGGATCACAAATACAGAAAAGGTCTGAAACTCCAGCTTTCGGCCCCAGATTTGTGAAGCTTGTGAAGTAAAGTTAGCAAACTGAAAAACCTCTCTGAAGTGGCTTGTGGTAGTTCTTACACCATTACTATTCCTTCACTTGGCCCAATGAAAGCAATCTTTTAAAAAGAACAAACCGTGATAATGGCGTGAAATGAGCGTGAGTTCAGGATCCTCTCCCCAATTCATATTAAATGGTTAGGAGAGAAACTGCCTCTCCTTTCTGCCCTCTACTCAATTCTCTGTAGTGGAATGGTAGAATGATTTGTTTCCCTTCCCATTAGGATTTTGAACGGGCTGTAGCAGAGATGCACCTTAAGAGCAAACAGCCTTTCTTCTCAGAAGGCCCAAGTGTTGCTGGTGATCACTGCTTACAGCTTTGTAAAAGCCAATATTTGTGAGCCCCTGATGATAGTTACACTTAATGAGTAAATCTAAGCTGAGGTTCAAACATATGCAGGTGTTGTTCAGCAAGGTATTTTTAAGCTTTATGATTATGTAGCAATTTTTATATTGGTGCATGTTTTCTTTTTTCCAAGGGACATCAAAAGCAAGAATGTGTTGCTGAAAAATAATCTTACAGCTTGTATTGCTGACTTCGGCCTTGCTTTAAAATTTGAGGCTGGGAAGTCGGCAGGTGACACACATGGTCAGGTAAGTTTAAAGTTTAAAGAATTGTGATTCTTTTTGGGATTGAAATAAATTGCCATATTTTCTGGAGTTTTCCATGAGAGGGAGGAGGCTTGTAGACTTGTTATGAAAATCAGACTAGGTCTATCACATCAGTTTTGAATGCTTTCTCTTGATAAAATGTGGCATAGTAATCATTGATATGAGCACTTTAACACTGCAGAGAAACTACCATATATATTCAAGTAGAAGCCGACTTTTTCAGCACATTCGGCTTACATTCGAGTGAGGCAGTGGCGGAGGGACAAGCAGCCCGAAAGGAGCCCTTTCTCACCGCTGGTCCCACTGCCCGCCTCTCGCAAGCGCAGGCACAGGAGCCGTGGTTGGGAGAGGCACTGTGCTGTGCTGTACCTCTCGCAACTGCGGCTTCTATGCCTGCTCTTGCCAGCGGCAGAGGCAGCGGCGGAGGGACGAGCGGCCCGAAAGGCTGCTCTTTCCTCCTCCTCTGCCTTTGCTGCTGTCGGCGGCAGTGGAGGAGGAACAGGCAGCCCAGAAGCAGCCCTTTTGAGCTGGTTGTTCTTCCTCCGCCACTGCTGCCACCACCAGGTTTGTGGTGTGGTGAACCGGCTTATACTTGAATCAATAAGTTTCCCCAGTTTCCCCTAGGCCAACCCCAACCTCTCTCAACACCAAAGGAACACAAATGAACAGCAGAGAACCGGCACGAGTAACGCTGACACCAAACCCTACATACATTAAGCAAAATAGAAACACTGCCACCCAACCCCACCCCACCATCTTCCCGCCCCCCTTTTCTTCCTAATGTCTCAACAAATGAAACTGATTTGTAAAAATGTTATATGGAAAAAATATGAGAGACATTACACATACTTCTGCAAATCAAGAAAATCTTTAATTAAAAAACAACAACGTAAGTTTTCCCAGTTTTTTGTGCTAAAATAAGGTGCCTCGGCTTATATTTGGGTCGGCTTATACTCAAGTATATATGGTAATACCAAGTAGGGAAATTTAAACTGTTAGTTTGCTTTCAGACATGGTTCTCCTTCCTCTTATGAAACCTGAAAGAGATCTAAAACATAGATATATGTAACTTTTGGGGCAGGATGGAGCACACACCTTTGCCAACAGTTCTCGTATCTCTTAATTCCTTTATTAGCTATTTTGAAAGAATGCTGATGGTTACTGAAACATAAAAAATAATAATAATGCTCTTTTAGTATGCAATATTCTGGACAGCTTACTTATTAAGAAATGTTATTGAATTTTCATTTGGTTTAGAATGTGAGCTATTCCAAAGTAAAATGAAAGACTTCAGAGCTTTACGTAATTTCCATTCGAATGGCAATTAATGATGTTTTAAAATTTCTCTAGAACACATGCTGGATGTTAGCAGATTTTGAAACCTGAATTACATACGGTTGTGACCCTAACATCTAGTGATTATTTATTTTCAAGGTTGGAACCCGAAGATATATGGCTCCAGAAGTGTTAGAAGGTGCCATAAACTTCCAGCGGGATGCGTTTTTGAGAATAGACATGTATGCCATGGGACTAGTCCTGTGGGAACTTGCATCGCGATGTACTGCATCAGACGGTAAGTAAAATGTATGTGCGTTGTACACACATGAAATGTTCTAAGCTCATATTCTTTCCGCTGGGTACATATAAAGAGAAATTAAAGCAAAACTGCCCATGAGTGTTGGTACAGAACCCAGAAAACAGCATCTGACCGGAGTCAGCAAACAGCCCACTCATCTTGAAATCTACCCATGTAGGAGGTTACCAGGAGCAAGCAATAGCTTAATCAAATTCTCGCTGTTGAAGCAGACTGTAGTGCAATCTGTTTCTACTCTTTTCTGCAGTCTTTCAGCAATGTGGGAGTGGAGCAGATAATCTTACATATAATTACAGAATGCAGGGTTGAAGCAAGGTGAATTCACCTTACAGAAGGGAGCAGAAGTGGTTTTCCAAAGGGTATTTGTAGATATCTTGCAAAAGCAGAGTGTTGAGATGGCCACCCATTCATTAAAATGGATATCTGAACATGTGTGAATGAACTCCGAGTAAGCCCTAAGCCATCAACCCAAACTGATCAAACATGTCAAGGCAAGAATAAAATGTATTTGGGGTTGTAATTAACTTCAACTGAACATTGGAGTGAGTTGTTACCCTTATAAAAACATCCTGGCATGGCATGTTACCCTCTGCAGTTTTTAATGCTTGGAGAGCAAACTGACTGTTCTTTGGGGATATTGTGTACTGAAGTGCAATGACTATGCCCTAAAAGGACAAACTTAAAGAACCACTGACCTCAAGCTGCTGCACAAGATGTGCTTCTAGAATATGGGGATTCCCCCATACCACAATTTTTAAGTCCCCACATGCAAGCATTTGGATGGAACATCTTGACTTGTCTATATTTTACTGATACAGTGGTACCTCGCAAGACGAATGCCTCGCAAGACGGAAAACTCGCAAGACGAAAGGGTTTTTTGTTTTTTGAGCTGCTTCGCAAGACGATTTTCCCTATGGGTTTGCTTCGCAAGACGGAAACGTCTTGCAAGTTTGTTTCCTTTTTCTTAACACCGCTAATACAGTTGCGACTTGACTTCGAGGAGCAACTCATAGAACGTGGTGTGGTAGCCTTTTTTGAGGTTTTTAAAGACTTTGGTGATTTTTGAAGCTTTTCCAAAACTTTTCTGACACCGTGCTTCGCAAGACGAAAAAAATCGCAAGACGACAAAACTCGCGGAACGAATTAATTTCGTCTTGCGAGGCACCACTGTAATAGAAGCTTAACTGAAATTGTGAATTGAACCCCACATTCTGTAGAAGATGGGTGCATGAACCATGGGAGATTCATTATGCTCAATGAACAGCCATGGGCATGTTGCCAACTTTTAGCCTGGTATTCTACCCTAAGCAGCATGGAAGAAAGATGTTTAAATGTGATTTACCTAACAGTTTATCTTTTTTTAAAATACAGGACCTGTGGATGAGTACATGTTGCCTTTTGAGGAAGAGGTGGGCCAGCATCCCTCCCTTGAAGATATGCAGGAGGTTGTAGTCCATAAAAAGAAGAGGCCTGTTTTGCGAGAGTGTTGGCAGAAGCATGCTGTAAGTAATATGCTCAAACTTGCAGGGTAATATTGAAGCTTCCTTTTGTAATTAAATGGAATTTCACCGGCAGAAATGTTGTTTTAAAAAATCTATAGTGAAAGTAAGATTCAGGGTACCAGACTATATTTTTGGAGAAGTTTAGACCAAGGGATGTTTAAAAAGTTTTACTATCTTTCAGGTGTTTATTTGGAGGCAGTAACATATTCAGCTGTTTAACATGTGTCTTGAAGTTCAGGGGGGAAATCATGGGCACAATTGAGCATAAATTGAGCATTTTAAAAGTAATGAATGGGGGTTTGTCACAATTAACGTTGATCCAGTTGATTTCTATGGGATTACATTGTGACTATCTTCTGCCAGATCCTATTGGTGTTTCAAATTGGTGCGATGCAAAGGTAAACTATGTTATGCAGAAGCAACCACAACTGTTGGTCTTGCTCTCTGTGTGTAGTATAAATCACAGATTTATAAAAGAGCCTGTAAGAACGACCATTAAAAAAATGTGAAACATTTTGTAGTACTGTATACTTCAGATGTTTAAAATTGTAAAAAATTGTCTCGTCTCAGTGCGCAAAAACTCGTGGCTCAGCCAGTTTGCAAGAAAGTTTATTGAATGAAAATTGGCTTGCAGTGTTACTTCATTGCAAGTTGCCATTAATACTAGTAGTAATGTTTATGTATAATGATTTCACAGGATTTTTCTCCTTTAGAATGTTAAAAGTTGATAACCATGATCTTGACTTGGACACCTGGTTAATTGGTAGCAAGTGCATGCACATAAGGGAGAACAGGTGTAATACACTTTCTGCAGCCCCAATCCAAATGCTGGCTGCAGAATTAGGCAGTTTCCAAGCCATCTTCAAGAGTAGCCTCATGTACAAAATGTTTTAAGAGTTCTCCGAATGGGAGGTTATTAACTTTGTTTTTAAACAAGTGTGTGTTACTATAAGAGGGATTCAAGTTTCTTCTAAGATTATCACATGCTTGACAGCTTACGTCAAAAATTGAATGTTTCCATTCTAATTATGTTGTTGATGATGATTACTTTGTATTTAATGTAATTTATACACCTTCCTTTTTAGGGAATGGCAATGCTCTGTGAAACAATAGAAGAGTGTTGGGATCATGATGCAGAAGCTCGATTATCAGCAGGCTGTGTAGAGGAAAGGATTATTCAGATGCAAAGACTAACAAACATTATAACAACAGAGGACATTGTGACTGTGGTCACCATGGTGACAAATGTAGACTTTCCTCCCAAAGAATCCAGTCTATGATAGCTACAATGGTCATACATCTTTACCCATCAGACTCTGAACTGGAGCTGCTAAGCTAACGGGCCTGTTTCTGCTCAACAGTTTTCTCTGTGTGAAATTATGGAATGGTAAGTTTGTCTTTGGAGTGTGAGTAGGAAGACGCCTCCTTGCCCTACTCCAGACATGAATCCAGGAGACTTACTGCATTCCTTGCATATGCCAGAAGGACGTGGGACTGAGAATACGGCAAGGTGATGTTTCAGGAACTTATTTGAAGAACATGGACCTATCCTGGCTGGTGAAAGATTTTAAAAGCTGACATTGTATTTCTTAATATGTCAGAGACACTAATTCCTTAAAATGAACTACTGCTATTTTTTTTAAATCAAACATTTCATTTCAGATTTAAGAAAAAAGGGTAACTTGTTTTTATTGCATTTGCTGTTGTGTTTATATAAATGACTATTGTAATGCCAATATGACACAGCTTGTGAATGTTTAGTGTGCTGCTGTTCTATGTAATCAACGTGGGATCTAGCAAAAAGGCTTCCAAGCATTACTTAACCTCCCTCAACAAGGTATACCTCAGTTCCACCTATGCTAAATTGACAACACTAACAAAACTGAAATAATTGATTGATCTGAATTTTGTAAAATATGTATTACAGATTCACAGTGTTTTTTTTTTAAATAAAAAGATGGTAAGCTGTGCTTCATGCCAACAGACAATGGCCATTCCTAAAACAGTGGTATTAGCCTTTCTGTGTTCTAGCTTGTGTATAAAAAAGTATTGTTTGAAATGGCAAATTCCCCGGTTTTTAGTTTAAAGCTTTATTTTACCTCCACTTCCCAAAATATTGCATACATTTATTTTACTAAATATTATTTAGGTTTGCTGTGTGACAATATTTTAAAGATTTAAGCATGACTTAAAAATTAAAATTTTTATGTGAGCTATGGCACTGGAAAGCTCTTAATTTTATTTCTTTTTAAGGAAGATTTTTTTCCAATCTATGTATGTTAATGTTCTGCCTAGTGTATTTTCTGTTTCACTAAACAGGATACAGCACCTTCTGTATCACTGTTTCAGGATCACCTCAGGAAGCTTCATTACCCAGAACTCCTCACTCTTCATGTGTTGCCTTTTGCAGCTTCACAACACTTGATTTTTGGTGCCGACTTGTCAGAGTAGTATTTTTCTGTGATGCATAGGTTTGCCCTGTGGTCACTAAATTAAAAATAAGTTACACATTCGCTCTCAAAATACGCTTGCCATCAAATGCAATTATTTCTGTAGAGATTACAATGTAGCACAGTCTAGAGAAAACAACCCTACAACTTTAAATTTAAACTACTGTATTCAAGCGTTATAGGCATTTAAGAAGTTAAGCCTTACCATAAAAAAGAAAACTCGAGTAACTGGGCAGCAGGTAGACTGGTGCCAAAGTACTTCTCAAAAGTAATAATACACTAGTTATTTGATCAGCTACATGTACACAGGCCAAAGTAAGTTAGCTGTCTAAAACTAAAGTACAGAACCAACAGTAGCCAGTGTTACGAGATTCTGGTCAGGTGCATTGGACTTTTAAATAGTGTTTTTTAATGTCACAATCAGAAGTTCACTGTGAATGTTCTTGTAACAGGTATTTATTTAAGCCACAGTGTTTTCTTATGTACCAAATCTCTGGGAACAAATAAGAATTATTTATTAACAAAATTTTGATCACCAAACTTGCTAGGAAGAACAGTAATAGCAGAGTTGTTTTGTGTGTAACTGGCATACCACCCAGAGGTTTTTTTAATTTATCTTTTTTTTCTGTAGCCGTAAGAACCCCATGGTCTGATTGGGTTACAAATACTGTTGGGCACAATTGCTATTTTTCTTTGTTGACAGAGGGACTTTGAATTATTATTATTATTTGGACTAAGGTAAATTATGTGCTTGCTTCTGATTTTAGGGCTTGATATAACAACTTAAGAGGTCTTGCCTGAAAATATCCAAATGGACAGATATTAGGACAATGTAGGAACTGTGTATTGGTGATTATCCAGAAACATGTAAATACAATAACAATTTTAAAACACAGTTGCCATGTTTGTTTTGGAGAATCTACTCCAATTTTTAATAGAGCAGCTTTCCATCAAACACTAATTTCCACCAATATGATCCCTGAGCCAGGTGGCAACTTTTCTCTTGTGTATTTTTTGCTAATGCATTTCCGTTTGCAGGTCATATAGGGAAAATCATCAGAACTTGACAATCAAATGGGGTAATGTCTCCATCCTTTTTTTTAAAAAAAAATGACTTTTGAAATCCCCCAATAAGTACCTTTATTCAGATTTTTAGAGAATTATCATGAATTAATTGTTCAGGAAAAATATCTTGCTTTTAAAAAACTATTTTGGTAGAATCTGTGAAATTGCTAAAATTTACCAAACTGTAGATCCATATTTAAGATATTGCAGAGAACCTCAACATCTTTGTTTCCAACTTATGCGGAAAATGTAGAGGTGGGCAAGTTTTAAAATGCTTAAGCCAAGACCCACAAATAAAGCCACATATTAAGAGAGAGAAAGGCTGAGCTAGGATGCTCTGGTTTCTGGCAGATATTGTGACCATTGTTGCTTTTTGTATTTGAACCATACATGTAGCGTGTGTGGATCTGGCCAGCTCGGGTGGTTTACCTTGTATTTTTGACTTGTGAAGAAAAGCTAGGGCTATGGCTCAAGCTTTCAGTTGTCTCTGGTTTGCCTGTATCTACTTAGTTGGCTGCCATATGATTGCCACAGAATTTAACTGATTAGCCAGTTTTGTGATCAACTCAGAAGTCTAAACCCTGCAATACCTTTTCAGTTTGTGTTAGATGCTAAGAACTTATATCACATGATGCATGACTACTCTTTGTACAGTTCCTACTAAATATAACTTAGCATTTCGGAACAGATTGTGCCTCGTAATTGTTGGAGTTCTTTGACCTAGCGTTCTCATTCATGGTGGTATTCTGAAAATGAGTCTGGATTAAAATACACAACATTATACCTTCTTTGATAGCGAAATCCATGTGGAGTAGCTCTTGCATAACTAAGGTGTAATCAGATGTAGTAGTAATAAATATTGTTCATACCACAGTTCTACAGAATAAATTGCTGATTGTAGTTTAACAAAGTGAGGTGACTTGATTGGTTGACCTTTTTCCAGTTTTCTCTTTTTAACCTTTTTAATGCATTTTTATTAGGAATATTTGGTATAAGATGCAGAAAGCTATGTACAGGATTATGAGCAAACAATGATAGTATCCTTGTTGGAACACCATTTACCTCAAGATACTCAACCAGCAGTACGTTTTGGTTTTTTTTAAATGCACACTCAGTCCATATAAGATGTTACCTCTCAAGATATTGGTAAGCAATTATTTTAGCTTTACTCTGTACTTGTCAGTGTTCTTGGCACAGGTGGTTGTACTACTGTCAAATTGCTCTTGCTATTTTTTGGCAAGTATTTAAAAAGAAAATAACCCCCATTCTGGATAAGTGATTGTGAAATATTGTATAAATAAAATGTATGCGCTCTTTCCTTATTCCCACAAAGATGAATAAAAATTTAAGTGACTACTAAGATTGGCATAGTCTTTCTCCCCCGCCCCATTATAATTTTAATTCTTTGACTTTATGTATGCTGGATGGCATTCAACATTTTACACATTCCCAAGACTCCTGCTTTCTCTGCAATATTTATTCCAGAGGGTCCCCAACTTTCTGGAACCGATGGGAGGGGGGAAGGGGGGGAATAAATAGCCATAAATATTACTGACACAAAACTCTTCTTTCTGGTGCATAATGGGCCACAATTTTAAATCTACTTATACAACTGGTTTTCATCAAGTGGTTTTGTACTGCCGAATAAGCCAAATATCCACATACAGTTTTACAATAGCCTGATAAAATACAGTCAACTGAGAATGACATTTCTGAAGTCTATTGTGTGCGTGCTCTGGCCCTATCTCCTAAAGAAAATAAATGCCATACATTATTTAACAGCAGTTTATAGTTTACCATGACAGTGTGCAAAAAGGTGTGCTGATAATGTATTGTATCCAATCAAACAGTTTGAAAATACAAATCCAGTTTTTTTCTCCTCCCCCCCCCCCATTATTTACTCTCCATTCAAGTTTAAGATTACTATACAGGTGTGTAGCTATTTCAGAATTTTAAAAGAAGCTACAGAAGAAAATAGAGCGTGCATATATGGCAAAGACACATGAGGTAGTTTAGAAATAAGTACTAACAAGACAACCAAGTTAAATTCACACAAACATACCAATGCCCAGTAGCTGCTTTGATAATATAGATCCAACACTAAAAACTAGCTCCAAGGAATCATGAGTTATCTGCTGCTCTTGAAACTTCTAGGAATTAAAGGGATTTTTGATAAGGAACCAGTTTAATATAGCAGTAAAGACTACAGAGAGGTCCTACATCAGATGAGAAGTGATAGGGAAAAGAGAACAAAAGGTAGACAGCTGGGTTTGAGGGAAGGCAAGGCTGAGAATCAGTATTTTTTTTTAGAAAAACATTTTACAGGTGCAGCACAGCACAGTGTTTCCTCATACTAAAGCAGGCAGTCTTCTTCAGCCCAATTCCCCCAAGTGCTGTTGAACTACACAACTACCATCATTCCTGGCAATTCTGCTCGGGGATGTTAAGAGTACATGATCATCTAGAGGGCCCCCACTGGATAAGTAACCTCCAAACCAGGAGCTAGAAACACTCCCCAAACTTTATGAAAATAACCACATGAGCAATAGACCCTGTACAGCTGGAATGAGGAACCTTGGGTCCTGTGGACACAGCCAATGGCCAGAGGTGATACACAGGTGTGTTGCTGAACTACAACTGCTAACAGCCCCCATTTAGCTATGCAACAGTGTAGCCCAAAGGCTTTGAAACAAGGCTCCTTGAGCATTAAGAAAGCAGTTGGTTTGTGGGGATATTCAAGACTATTATTAAAGCTGAGTTCTCTTTCTCTGAGTAGTGCAGGTTAGGAGCTGCCTTCCATGAAGACTGAAGCTCCACACTCCCATTACTGCTCCATTCTAAACTTCCAATTTAAATTGCCCCACGGGTTCACATATATATCCACATACAGTGGTGCCTCGCAAGACGAAAATAATCCGTTCCGCGAGTCTCTTCGTCTAGTGGTTTTTTCGTCTTGCGAAGCAACCCTATTAGCGGATTAGCGCTATTAGCGGTTTAGCGGCTATTAAAGGCTTAGCGGCTAAAAGGCTATTAGCGGCTTAGAAAAAGGGGGGAGCGGAAAAAAATCGCAAGACTCGCAAGACGTTTTCGTCTTGCGAAGCAAGCCCATAGGGAAAATCGTCTTGCGAAGCAACTCAAAAACGGAAAACCCTTTCGTCTAGCGGGTTTTTCGTCTTGCGGGGCACCACTGTATACGTATTTACATTGATAATTTTTTTTGCTAATTATAGTCCCCAATACTGCTAGGTGGTAAGATGGAAAACACCTACACAAGAAGGAAAAGCAAAGCCAGCCAGGCAGTTAGCCCAAGTTACCTCTTCTCAAACAGTTGTCCTACAATTTTGATCAGGACTTTAATAGAACTTTCTCTGTATTAACTATTACAGCATCCAAAATAATTTGCCATCAGCTTCCTGAAGACTTAAGAAAAATTTCAGTATAAGAGTTTAACTAAACACAACTGGTAAACTACCAGAAGAGAGACTGACACAAACAGAATATTTTCCCCGGCTGTAATAAAATAGAAACATTTTCCTTTATTCACTTATTAGACTACAACCAAAAGAAAAAGGTGAACACCAGACTGTATGCAATGCTAGTCATACACAGCGTAGATCCACTGCAACAGACTCAGTCATGCTCAAGCGAATGAATTCACTCCAATCTGGGTATCACCCAGAAAACTGGATTTCTGTTGCAGATCAAAATCCACTTCTTTGGAAATATTAACAAATAAACCAAAGAAAAGAAGGATACACTTTTTAATCAAGTACATTGGGCAGTTGAAGAACATTTTTAAAGGTCATCTTTCAATAGATAACACCGATTTTTCGTCTGGTTTATTTGTACCCAAGTACCACTTTCCAGAATCTCATCAAATATTTCAAATCCACAATCAATTTACTGAAGATGTAGCCCATTGCTTTACATCAGTTGGGCAATTTGGGTAAACCTGCAGAGCATCCATAATTTGGTTGTTGTCCAAAAGAAGATTCATTAGCAAGTATTCTCTCTGTGTGCACATAGATGGTCCTTCTACAGGTTTTATCAATTCAAGATGCAGCAAGTGTTCATAAGCCTAAAAATAAAAAAATCCAAACAAATCATCATTAGAATCTTTTCCCATCATCCACAGATAAAGTCAACATAATTTGCAGTTACAGATATTTTAGATTAGAGTTTGCTACTGAATAAGAATTAAGATGCAGCAAAATCTTGCCTCTATTTTAGGCTGTTTAGTTTCATTTTCTAAACAGCATCTACATCACAAAAAACCTCATTTGCAGCATAAAAGCTACATGTATGTTTCTTTTTTTTTTCTCCCCCTAATGCCTCAACAAATGAAACGGATTTGTAAAAATGTTACATGGGGAAAAAAATACAAGGCACTACACTTCTGTAAAACAAGAAAATCCTTAATAAAATATTAAAAAAAAGAAAAAAGAAAAGAAAAAGAAAAAAAAGCTACATGTATGCATACAATGTTCACTAGAGGGCAGCAGAGTACTAAATACAATAATGAAAAGACCAAGATAGACAATGACACCTATGTAAAGCATACAACCCTAAAACATTTTAGAATATCTTTTTTTAAAAAAATGGGAGCTAAATCTTACAGTTCCAGTTCTTCTTTCAATCTTATTTCAAACTATTTGTCCCCTGTGGCACTAAAACAGAAGGTTTCAAAAGAATGTAGTAAAGTACATACCTTCATAACAACAGGTTTCTCAAAACTGTACACTGTGTGTGCCTTCCTCTGTACAAACCTCTGGTACTCTATAGCAAAACAAATACAAATTATATTACACTTTTGTTTTAGAGGTAATAAACTACGCATTTTGTAACGAATCTGATGTCACCTTACCATTATAAACCATTTGAAAATTAAATGGTTCTCCTCCATAAGTATCATTTAAATGTTTCATGGCTATTATGAGGCAGAGTTCCAACACAGACAAACCTATTAGAAAAAGAAGACAATTCTTAATAGCTATTTTCATGGCAGTACAGTGGTGCCCCGCAAGACGAACGCCTCGCAAGACGGAAAACCCGCTAGACGAAAGGGTTTTCCGTTTTGGAGGCGCTTCGCAAAACGAATTTCCCTATGGACTTCCTTCGCAAGACGAAAGCCCATAGGGAAATCTCCGGGACAGCGGGGAAGCGCAGCGCGTCTTCCCCACTGTCCTCGGACCTCCTCTGAAGGCTGGCGGCGGGCGGAGAGACCTCCTCCCGCCGCCAGCCTTCGTTTCTCCGCTATCCCGGACGGCTTTTGAAGGCAGGTGGGGGGGGAGCATAGACTTTCGCCTCCCGCCCGCCTTCAGAAGAGGTCCGGGACAGCGGAGAAACACGCTGCGTTTCTCCACTCTCCCAGGAAGGCAGGCAGTGGGGAGCAAAGACTTTTGCCCCCCGCCAGCCTTCAGAAGAGGTCCAGGACCTCTTCTGAAGGCAGGCGGGGTGCGAAAGTCTTTGCTCCCCCCCGCCTGCCTTCAAAAGTCTTTGTCCCCCCTGCCTGCCTTCCCGGGGGCTTTTAAACCGCCCCGGGACAGCGGAGAAGTCCCCCGCTGTCCCGGGGCTTTTTAAAATGCTGGCGGGCGGCAGCGGAGGCTTCGCTCCCGCCCGCCAGCATTTTAAGATCGCCCTGGACAGCGGAGAAGTCCCCCGCTGTCCCGGGGTTTTTTAAAATGCTGGGGGTGGGAAGAAAAGCCCTTAGTCCCCCCCCCCCCAGCCTTCAGAAGAGGTCGGGGGACAGACTGTCCCCGGACCTGGTCTGAAGTCGGTTTCCATAGGAACGCATTAATTGATTTTCAATGCATTCCTATGGGAAACCGTGCTTCGCAAGACGGAAAAATCGCAAGACGACAAAACTTGCGGAACGAATTAATTTCATCTTGCGAGGCACCACTGTATAGCTTTTTAAATGCCTAATCTAAAATGTTAACAGCTATTTGAAACTATTTTTATTATTTCTTCCTTCAAGCTTTCAAAAGGAAAGCTGACTTTAAATTTCAAAAATCAAATAAAGGAAAGGAAGTCTACTTGGTCAATTATAACCCTAAGCCTAACATGGTTTTACGCCAAGGTGACAACCTGTTGGGTAGGACCTGCCCCACTCTCTGGGTACGTTGTACAGTGGTACCTCAGGTTACATACGCTTCAGGTTACAGGTGCTTCAGGTTACAGACTCCACTAATCCAGAAATAGTACCTCGGGTTAAGAACTTTGCTTCAGGATGAGAACAGAAATTGTGCTCTGGCGGTGTGGCAACAGCAGGAGGCCCCATTAGCTAAAGTGGTGCTTCAGGTTAAGAACGGGCCTCCAGAACGAATTAAGTTCTTAACTCGAGGTAGCACTGTATCCTGTAGTTGTTGGCCAGCGAAGCTTTCCCAGATGGTTCAGAGACTTCTGACTAATAGCCTACAGCTGAGGCTGTGCAAATTCTGGACCACTTCCTGGATGCAGTGTGGGTTTGATGAGGGCCAATAAACTGAGCTTAACTTCTAGCAAAACAGAAGCACTATGGTTGAGTGGTTCCGTTGTCTGGAGCTGTCAGCAGCCTGCACTCCCTTCCCAGCTATGCAGTCTTTTTTGTTGGGAGGGGTCACTCTGGAGTTGCTACTGGCCACTGGTACCCACATCCAGTATAACACCTGTGTTGCAGGAGCTGCACAGGTTGCCAGCACTCTCCTGAGGTCTTACTATTATTAAACATAAAGCCATAAACTCACTGGCGACAGCATACTTAAACCGTTGCCTTATTCCACCTCCCCAGTATTTATGATCTACCACTGAGACATGTCTGATGCTGTGTGGCAGTGTCAAGACTAGCCTCAACAAACCGTGCATTTAGTGCCCACTTCAGTCATCCCTGAGAATCTGGAGATCCACAAAGGATGAAGAGCAAGTGAGGAGAGGGAGGAACACCCAATTGCAGAGCATGTTTCAAAGCATTATTTAGGGCGTGGTGATCCAATTGAAACAAAGAAAGCACATAAAGTGCATTTCAGAACTTGCTCACATAATTTAAGATAGTAAGTACACACTGTCATCTTACCATGTACAATATTTGCTTTAGAGTCCATTCTGCAGTGTTTGCCTGCTTCAAGAAGGTCTGATGCATTGATATACGGGTGAGACACAGTTATACTACTTGAAGCAAGCATCTGAAGACAAAATAATAATTTAAATATTTAATGACTTAAAGTCATTATAAAAGCATCTATAGTTATTTACAATACGAAAAAGTTTGTAACATTCAACTGAGAGTATTACTGCAGAATCCATCCAACAGTGCTATATATTGATTGCAATATCCATTTTTAGGATCTTTGATAATTTTACACCTACTTATTTTACTCTTTGAAATAGAAGTAATTTTGGAAACAACACACAATGCTCAGGAGGCAATCAGAAAATGTAATACAATGTTTTATCAGACCAAGAACAACTTAGATGGATTTAAGTCCAATTCGGCTGCATTATAAAGAGGACTACTCTTAAAAAAATTAATGTTTGCAGCATGGAGATTGGAAAATTGGTACTTACAAGTGAAGGTTCTTTCTGGTTGGTCTGTGAACTCCTATTTTGAAATTAGGCAGAAAATCATGTGACTGGGCTTTTTGGCACTATGCCCTCTCTGAAAGTCCTTCCCAAGTTTGAGGCCACGGCCAATACTGTAGCAGAAAAATACAGTTATAGAAGGAAGTTAAGGGAATAGTGGGTTGTGATGAAGGAATTGAAGAGGTGAAGACCTCTTGTGGTGCAATTTTGAACAAGGTGATGGCCATCCATAAAGGTGAGGGCTCCTTGTTGAAAATATGCACATCTTAGTAAAGGTATGGTCTTGAATACTTCCACACACCAACCAGAAAAAACTTGCACAGTACCAACACTCCATGACTTGTGTAGTGTTGACGATATCTAAGGCAGAATATGTAAAAGCTATGCAAGACCTTCAGTGGGTGAAGTCACTGTACCATGATGAAGGAACATGCAATATAGCTCTCCCCACAATAGAAACTTCCCTGAGGAAAGCAAAGTGGTGGTCTTGGGGCAGGGGTTTCCTTTGGAGAAAGGGATGCCGCAATTGCTCCTTTTGAAAGGTAGGGAAGAAATGGAGAAGAATTCCTTTGGAGAGGGAATAGTACAAAAAGCCAAGTCACACGATTCTATGCCTGACGAGCAAGCAGGAGCTAATCCACTTTGGATACTGCCCACACTAAAAAGTAAACCCAGTTTTAAAGCAGAATTTCCTCTTACAGACTTAACAAATATTTCTTGTTTAGAAGGAACCAATATATCCTCACTAAAGCTAGTATGCAGGCAGAGAGGAGGGGCAAGAGACAAGCATGAGGGCATGACATGGGTCCCTGGCCTCCTAAGAAATGGTTTATAGAGCCTGGAATGTTATATTCAAACCAGGCCAGAGACAGAACCTTAATAGACTTGTTTCTCTACACAGTTTCTGAACCCAAATCCTGCAGTCAGAATACATAAAACAGAATAAAGGGGAAATATTTAACATTCCTAACTGTATACAGGTCCTTCCAGTGCTTAAGACAGTAAGACACACCAAACATAATAAATGTCATGAGAGTCAACAGGGAGCCTTGTACTGCACAAGCAATGGCTGTGATCATTAGCAAATAGAACTGCACATTATTTTAAGACTTCTCTGTATTTATTGCCATCAAAATCTTGAAGTGGTTTGAATCACAAGTACATCACTGAAGTCGGACTTGCAGAATTTTATTAGAACTTAAAAGGCACAGACTTTCCACACTGCTCCATGGGAAAGTGTTGCTATGAGCTAAAGGAGGGGTAATCACCTTCTGCCCTTAAGTGCATCTCCTGAGTGGAACTCTGGTCATGGAATACTGCTGATGGCAAGAGTGAACTCTGGATCCCAACCTCAGAAAAACATTTACCACTAGAAAAGGGCTAAGCCAGCATGCTGTATCAAAACATATTCCTTTCCACATTAGTTTCCTTTTATATAGTAGTTGTATTAACGCCATTCGTAACTAGAAGTATCAGTTTATTTCCATGAACAGCAGTAAAATGTGAGTCAGAAATAAACGTGCCAAGATCTTACCAACAACATGAAGAGAGACCGCAGGTCTTTACTATAATGGAATTGATTTTGCAGTACATCTTGCACCTTTTGGTCTTCTAAGAGAGACTAAAACATTATTTTCAAAATCAGTAATTTTTAAGCAATCTACTCATCTTAATTCACCTAAAACATTTTTATACAGGTGGTAGGATAACACAGTTGATAAAATAACACAAAGTGATTCAGGGAAGATCACAAACATATAATCTGTTATAATTTATCAAAAGCAAACCATGTGGTTGGTTTTAACAAAAAGATCAGAAAGACGACACTGGACCATACGGCAGTGAACTGTAAGGGAGACAAAGAGATCTAAATAGAGACTATTATTTGTGGTGCGTCATCCCTTTGGCTTGTACTTATTTTGCTTATATTTATTTAGATTTGTCATGGCCAATGACCAGAACAATAGTTATTTGGATTGGACCAGTAGGATGAAAACTTTGCTCTCAATCACCTTTCAAAGCAATAACTAAAATACTAATAAAAACTGTTTTTTTCTGCCCAGCTGAAACTTTAGTAAAACTCAGTTTATAGGATGAGGTCATTATGTACTAATTTGCCTCACTTTGGGGAATTTATATGTACCTGTTTGAAAGGGGTCTTGTATTAAAAATGTGATAAATACAGTAATTTTACCATAGTTGCTCTTCATAACATTGTTTGAGATCTTCACTCTACAATCTAAATATACTGTATAAAAAAATTGTCTAGTAGAACCTTAGAGACCAACTAAGTTTGTTCTTGGCAAAAGCTTTCGTGTGAGTGCACACTTCTTCAGATACACATCTAGAAGTATGGAAGGCACCACACTGAGCTGCATGAAATGGAAGTCCATCAAACTCACAAAGCTAGATTGTAATCTAGTATTGCAATTTTCAAACTAATTTTTAATTACAGAGGCAGATACCAGTGTTAGATGTACATGGTGCCTGGTTTTGAAAACAGAATGTAGGGAAGCAATAAAATACCTTCAAGTAATACTTGATATGCAATTTTTCTACTCCTTTTAAAATTAGAAATTATGGCTTGTACACAGAACTCTGCTCACACAACAATACTTTCCTTTCCTCTCCTCCCATGCAACTCCAAAAGCTGCTCCAGGGGTCCCCAAACTATCCAGAGCTGATTTTGAGGTCACCAAAGGGGCATTTGCAAGGAAGAGGAGGGGAAATTTCCATTTCACAAGTGGAAGTCTGTGCACTAACAGACACAATAACTTGGCTCCTAATTTCTACTAGAAAATGTACATTCCAATGCATTCCTTTTTAAGCTGTATAAGCGCTGTTATCCAGCAGTTTGAAGATCTTCAGCAAGAAATTTCAATTGACTGATTATTACTATTATTTCAATCACCTGTACATTCTTATTCCATTTTTGAATAAAGGACTTTTCTGGAAATACTGCAGGCAGGGATAACTGTTCTTTACAAATATTCAGATATTTTTTAAAATCAAATGAATTCATTAAGTATATTTGCCGGTGTGAAAATCTTGACTTCACTCTCTTCTCCATGAGTTCAAGAATGTCCTAGTGAAAAATTGCAAACAGAACAAAAACATAAGAAATCTACAAGAAAACATATCGATTGCTAGATAACTTTTTTACCTTTTTTTTTTACTTTTTAAGGATGAAAATTGACCTCAGAATTATGTTTGAGCATTTGCCAGCTCTGCAGAATGACAACTCCAATACATACGTTATAAAACAGTTTATCTGAAATTCTGTATACATAGGTTAAATGCTTGCCACAGAAAATTCTAGAGATCACAGTTACTATCAAATATCTAGGTTAGTTTTCAGTTTATTAGGCATACCAGTGTTGGCAACTTATTTAAATTATTTTTATCTGAATTGTATTATCTATTAAAAATGATTATTTGAAAAGGTATTTCATGTTAAGATTTCTCAATCAAACCTCATTAGAAGAACAGAATCTTTTCAACTGACTAAGCTATTTCAACTCCAGTAGCACACACAGGAAGTTCTACTAAGTGTGGTTAAAGTAGCATTCTTCATTTAATAATGAAAATGATTCACAATCCCTAAAAGTCTCTTACTTTTCTCTGCACAGGGTCTCTAGCCAATTAAAGAGAAGCATCTTTACTAGTCATCATCTGAATTTACATGCACTGGTGGCAACATATATTAAGAGAAAAGTAAATTGATTTTACCAGTCTACAAGTCAGACCAACAACAGCTATAGGTGTCTGTGCTGACTGGGACACATCAAAGAGGTTATACAGCAAAGTCTGGTTCTTATGATGGACAAACAGATCAAACTCATCTAAGATGAACAGCACCGGGCAACTGTGAGCACGGTCACCTAACACATAAAACAAACGGGTAAATATTAGGGACCCAATTCAACTAAGTGGTTCTACACAAAGACTTCCACTAGCTCAACAGGTAATCTCTTTGCAAGCAACTGAAAGAACTGTAACATAACTTGCAATTTAGCAAGAACTTCCAATTCATTGTAAGAAGGCAAAGCCACCTAACATTTCACTTTAGTTCCTTTACTGCAGTAATCAAGTTACAGATTTTCTTACCCACCCTTCACCATAAGGTCCCAGGGAGGGTTGTGACAAAACAATGATATAATTTAAAATAGAATGATACTAATATTTAATGCAGCAGCGGAACTACAATATAAAAAACAGAGAATAACGTTACAAAGATCAGGGTAAAGAGGCACATCTTCAGCATAGGGGGAAAACTGTACCACAAGGATGATAGATGCACCTCAAGGGGGAGAGAATTCCACAATTTAGCAGCTACCAGAGAATACCCACTCCCTAGTGGCCAATCGCAAACTTCTGTGGGACACAGAAATACCAAGAGGGGCTCCTCTGTTGATCTTAATGGTCTGAGAGAAGGAGACAGTAGAGAAGGAGTCAAGCTGTCAGATATTTGGGGCCTACGTTGCTTAGAGCTTTAAATACCAAAGTGTGCAGCTTGAACTGAGCCTGCAAACAAACTGGCAACCAGTGCAGCTGCTTTAAAACAGGGGTTGTAGAAATGCTAATGCATACCAGTTAGTAATCTGGATAGAGTAGGTATTAGTGTTTGTCATTAACGCCCAATAACGTGTTATTAATCACCAAGAAAATATGTTTACCTCTCTTTAATGCTTCAAGAAGAAACGTGAGGTTTTCTGCAAAACTACCCTAAAAGATAACAACGTCTGAATGATTATCTGGTAGATATTAAGCTTTAAAATAAAAACATGTAGCAGGATTCACCAAATGAGTGCCTATCTGCAGAACCTATGCACAAACATTCCCATTTGTGCAGCAGGGCTTCCCCCTCTCCTCCCACCACCACTGTACCATGTGAAATTGGCTTTTCTTTGGCGGGGGGGGGACCCCAGAACAACACCCCCAGAATCCCATCCATTGTATTTTGTAGAACTGTATGCTATTGCAAAAATAAAAATAAAAATGTAACAGCTTCTACAAAGTGTAACCAGAGCAGAATAATCAGTTGCAGGGGATAAACAGATAAATAACTATATGACTTTTAGAAGACATGGGAAGGCAGCCCTCTACAGGGAAGTTTTTAATGGCTGTTTTATAGTGCTTTTATTATCTTGTTGGGAACCATCCAGAATGGGGCAACTCAGTCAGCTGGGTGGCATATTAATAATAATATAAAGACCTGCTTCAAGCAAGGACAGGAAAAAAATGTCACTAAAGGGAAGGGGACAACAAAGGAATGATGACATTTTTTCTGCCTTCAGGTATTTGGGAGCATAACAATAAACAATTAAATAAACAATTAAATAATAACCCAGCTGGTTGTGTTGCAGTCTAAGAAATCTAAAAGGGAGAAATGCATTTGCAATGCCCCTTACACGGTTTTATGATTTTGCAGCATATGGATATAGTTACAAGTTGAAAGAGTACAACAATGTGGACTATATATTTTTAAGTACAGCTAAATGTTTTACTTACAAAAACTTTATCTCCAACCACATTTTCTAGATTTAGCTGTCTTGTAATCTCCTTAAGAGCAATTTTATCATTGGTCTGTAGTAACCCTAGAAGACAATTGCAAATACACATAATATTCTAGATTTGGAAATTCTATAAACCCCACTAGAAAGACAGAAAAAAGAATGCATTTTATATTTCAACAAATAATAGCATCCAAAGCAAATTTTAGAAATGTCATTAAGTATCCAAGGATCACATGCTCATTTTTCTCAAAGATGCATTGGATCCCAAGTTTCAGAATGATGAAAGCTAGCCAGTTCAAGTGCAACAAAGCCTTGTTTGGTATTATATGAGTAAGCCTTGAGCTTGCATACTCCCTTCTCCTTCTCCAACTCCTTCACCTCACACATTCAAATCCTGTCTAGATGCCCCTTGAACAAGACCTACAGACAACGGCAGGGTTTGCAATTCTTGGAAGGAAAGTGCAAACCTGTTTGCCTGTTCAGATTGACAACAAACTATGGTTTGTGCTAAACAGTAAGTTGTTGAATCTTGATCACATGGCATATTCTCAACCCTTTAAAGCAACCCATTGTTAAAACTGATAATATATGGTGGTATCCAACTTCCAGGTGTGAACAGGATGAACTTCCACTTATGCACCATGACTTTCATTTTCTCTCCTCCCTCTGTAGCCTGCTCCTGGCAATCTACCCTGGGTGGTTAGGGGATCATCTGGAGCAGACTTGCAACAGGGGTGCAGAGTGGGTAATAGAAATTCCATTGCACATGTGGATGTCTGCTCACATGAGGCTATATACTTGGTTTTCATAAAGCTACCCTATGTTAACATAGCTTTTATGTTAACACAGCTTTTAAAGAGCTTTTATGTACAATTCTATCTCTGCTGTCAGTAGATACTATGGCTACAATAAGTACAATCCCTTGCAATTGTTAATTGAAATAAATCAGTACAAAATTACAAGGCTCAATTAGCACTATCTTCAAGGAAATTCAGCTGACGTGACCAAATTACATACCATTTAAATGAACTTGTAAGATGTTTTCTCTTACTTCCTTTACTTCCATGAGCTTCTTTAAGACATGACATGTTAACTAGGAAGAAATAAAACAAAACATAAATTCTTATGCCATATGCTTACTACATAGTATCAGGATTTAAAACTGAAACAAGTTTTTATGAGCATGACTTATACTATTATAATAGCAAAAATTGAAAATCTATTTATAGAAGGGACTGGATTCCAGCACAGGATTTGGGAGCAGGGGTGGGGAGAGCTGAGATGAGAAGAAAATGATTTCTACTTATTATTCCACTGTACCCCATGGTGCTAAAAGTCTGCACTGGTGGGTTGGGGTAACTTCTGGGACAGAACGGAAATCTGTAGAAAGAAACTGCCATAAACCTATTCCTGCTTCTATCTGTGGCACTCCCAATGGATTTAAGTCCTTTCTGTGCATAGAAAGTTTCATTTGAACCTGAACAAATAATTATTCAATTAGATTTAAGACTACTTCTGGTTTCCAATAAAGAACATATTAAAACCGCAACCTTTTAAATGCATCAAGTGGAATGTATCATTTGTTGCAGCTTTTAAAAGTTATTTCATAATTGCAACAAATGAAAAAAACAATGGTATGACAGAGGAAAAATAGTAGAGATTTGCTCCTATTCCAGGTGGCCTGTGCCTTCCTACAACAGGGCTATCTACCAGTAAGCGCCTTGTGGGAAAGATCCTGACAATTATGTTTTGATATTGTCTTCATTGTTTTATTTTGGTTTTACATATAAGGATTTGTATCATTAAAAATGGATATAAATAAATATAATAACAAATAAAAGCAAGGGATTCAAAGTATCAATTCCCTACATGGTATTAGTCAGGAAGCATGCCAAAGAGTGAAATTTGCGGCCAATGGTATTCTGATCCCCCTGCATCTTCCTCAAATCCCAAGAGGATATGGGGATCCTTCAGAACAGCCTGAGAAGGTGGAAAGGATGGAGGAGAACATACTTGTTCAAAGAGCCTCCCCTTACTGGATGGATACCATAGAATATAATCCTATCAAAACTAGAAAATAAAGCTTAATTAGAAAACAGTTTTATTTATGAAGTTTAGAAAGGATTTTTCTAGTCAAGAGACCTAAAAAGATCAATATAGAATAAAAGATGTAGAATAAAAGGTAGAAACTCTAATAAAATAACACATTAAGAAGCTAAAGCATCTCAAAGGTTTGAAAGAAAGCACACAACTAAACAAGTTAAAGCAAGGTTAAAGGCTCTGAGAGTTACATTCTATGTACCAAAAATACATAGGCTGGTGAACTCGGTTTAACATCATTATGAAACAAATTTCTTCCCTCTCACCACAAAGCCAGCATTTGATTTATAAGAAAACGAATTTCACTGATAACTTTCATGCAGTACATTAAGTTACAACTTTCCACATGGGACTCAATATATAAAAACTAAATGGAATTAAATATTACCAGAGTCTTCCCTGATCCCCGAGGTCCAATAATGAGTACAGAGTTGCTTTCACCATTGATAGCAGTACGTTTCAGAAGCTCGAGTAATTGTCTGAGTAAAGGATGAGGAGAGAGAGAATGAGGAATACAAATAACTTTAGACCTGGAATAATTTCAGATATCAAATTTCATCTCAGAGAAACAAAATCACATTGTTTTTAAAAAGTCTCAGCCCACCTCCCTTTACCCATCCGGAAAACACATTATGACACCAAGAAATAGAACAGAACAGATTTGTCTGTGCAATTGTCATTTAAATGCTTTTCTGATTCTCAAGAAGCTAGCTTTCTTCTTGGAAGGGAAAAAAAGGACAGTTAATTAAAAAACAAATCTTTACTGACAAATTCTAACCCTAGATTTATAGGCTCTGTAAGTATATCTCTAAGCTTGTTAAAAAAATTAGGTACAAACGTATTTTAATAAGAAGGGTAATTTTGACTAGCTTTATACAGTGGTACCTCAGGTTAAGAACTTAATTCGTTCTGGAGGTCCATTCTTAACCTGAAACTGTTCTTAACCTGAAGCACCACTTTAGCTAATGGGGCCATTCTGTTCTCATCCTAAAGCAAAGTTCTTAACCCGAGGTACTATTTCTGGGTTAGCGGAGACTGTAACCTGAAGCGTCTGTAACCTGATGCGTCTGTAACCCAAGGTACCACTGTACTTGATTTCATATCATTTTAATGGTTATTAACTATTCAATTTTTTAAAAAAAATGATGAAAGAGTTTCTGCTGTCTTCTCTTCACCAACACATTATTTACTGGTGGGTACCTAGATTACACTTCTTTTTGAGCCCTGTGTAAGGTTAAGTGATGATGCGTTAAGATTAGAACCCCTCATCCTCCTTAATGTAATAGCTGCTATGGTGCTGACGAGGCCATGTTACTGAAAAGGATTCCGGGACAAGTATGGCTGTTGCTTTTCTACCATGTTCAGTGAAATGATCCATTAAGGCTGGGAGGGCAATGGCACTGTGATAGCCACTGTGATGATCCAATGAAAACAGAGCTTTCATTTGAGGTATGCCATAAGAACCACTGGGAACATTTCCTCCCTCCCTATGAATATGTTTTAGTCTTTTTAGAGTCCCTTTGAGGATGGGTAAGAAACCAGTATTTGGGGGACAAATCTTTGAAATCTTGTTATCTACTAAACTTGCAGTTTAAAGTTCACAAGATCAGTAAAGGGGTTATCTGAAACAAACATAAATACACTGTTTCCTTACTTGTATTGCAGCTCAGTTCCAAACAACTTCCCATTTTGACTCTGGTGACAGAACCTTTCACGCAATATTCTTTGTACCTGCATATATTGAGTTATAGAGACATCAAATATGCACAGCACAACCAGCTGTCATTTAACAATTTTCTCTTATCCTGTGGAAGTTAGTAAGCTACAAATTTGTTATTGATTTATTTTCACAATTTATATCTTGCCATTCTCCTTCTGGGTCCCAAAACAGCTTACAAAATGCAAACATAGAATATAAAACATAAATTAAACACCATAGATTAAAACATCAAAGAAGCATTCATGGTAAAAATGCCTTATGGAATAAAATAGTTTTAATCAGGTGTCTGCAACTTATAAGGGATGGTACCTGCTTGATTTCTAGTGGGAGGAGGATTAATAAAGTACAGGTCCAACCAGGGCAGGCAACCGGCCTTTCTCCCATATCCCAGGTTTCAGACTCTGCTTACTGGCCTAACTGCATCTAGGCACTAGTCCAGGTCTTTAACAACATCTCAGTTCAGATGTAACAGAGATGGATATAATCAGCATACTGATGACACCTTGCCCCTAGACTCCTAATGACCATTCTCAACAGCTTCATATAGATATTAAACAGTACTGGGAACAAAATATTACCCGAGGGGACCCCATAATGTAACTTCCATGGCCCCAAATAACAGTCTCCCAGTGCTACTTTTGGACACGACCCTGAAGTAAAAACGGAACTGAACTCTCCAGATCTTCAGTGTAAGAAGATTGAAGAAGGGCCTTAATGATCACAGGGTCCAGGATGGTTCATAAAGCACCATCCATTGGTGGAACCAAGGCTGATTCAGTCCCAAACTCAGGACTGATTCCAGATTGCACTGGATCTAGATAATCAGTTCATCTAGAAACACCTGCAGTTGCTCTGCCATGAACCTCTCTACCACCGTACACAAAAATGGAGTGTTAGCACCAGTTTGATAGCTCTTGCATTCCATCGTTGTTCTGTCCACTTTTGCCCTCAGACTGAAAAATGTTCCCCACCTTGCTATAGTATAAATTTCCAGGATTCTTTATAGTAGGGATGCAGTTACTTAGGAACATTGCAAGTGGCATATACCAAGTCAGACCATTGGTTATCTATCTCAGCAATGTATTTTCTGACTGGCAGTATCTCTCTGGGGTTTCAGACAAGGATCTTTCCCAGTCCTGTCTGATGATGCTGGAGACTAAATTTGGAACTAAAGTTTGGTGGACGGAGCAAATCATGTGATCTACCTACTGTGTTATGACCCCCGCCCCAGCTAAACATTAACAAGCAGTAGCCATGGCGTTTGTCGTGACACACAAACACATATACACTCCAGAAATTATCTAGACATAGGAATGCAATTGTGGAAGTGGGCTTCTACACATGGATTCCCTTACTGGATTAAGGGACACACAGACAAGAATTGACAGTGTTCTTGCTGGTTTACACATGAAGACCTTGGTTTGTATGTGCAGCTGTAAGCGACTGCATTGGTGCTGCATTTACAAATCCAATCAGATGATAAGCAGAATTGGTTTTGGTAGAATTTATCAAAGGAGTTTGTGTGAGAGAGATTTATACACACTTAAAAAGAGTGAGAGACTGACTGAATCCACATCTCTCCACAAATGCATCATTTGTACATACACGAGTCGCAAAAGAATCAACATGTGCAAGTAGGACATACATACTTGTCAGCAAACCCTCCCCCCATTTATAACTTTATTTCTCCTATTCAAGCAATTATACTAACCTTTGATATGCATTCCCCATTTGTAAAGCTATCCTCCTTCAGCTTGCGTTTGCTCATTGTAATTCAAGCCCTAAAAGAGAAATATTTCAAGTTACAGCAGAACTTCCTCACACATAAGACTGGCATTGCATCATTTTATGGTTCCTTATTCAACAGAAGCCTGAAATGTGCATACCTGTGGGCCGCAAATAAGCTATGAGCCACTACAAATCATATGTATGACACTGGAAGATTATTCTCTGCAAGTCTTAAAATTGTGTTTAGTTTTAAACTTCATTTTCTTGCAAGCAGGGCTGGTGCCAAGTTGGAAGGGGCACTGAATAAGATGCTCAGTGATCCCCGAAAAATGAAAACAGTGTAGATGCTTTGCCCAGTGCTTTTCTTCTGTGCCAGGTTTAGCTCCACCAATCATCTCTGCAGTGGTCCAGTGCTGTTCAGTGCTGCTTTCCACACTGACAGAATTACCGTATTTTTCTCTCCATAACACTCACTTTTTTTCTCCTAGAAAGTAAGGGGAAATGTCTGTGCGTGTTATGGAGCGAATGCCTACGGATGGCGGGGGATCTGCTGCAGTCGTGAGCAGAGGATCCATGGTTCCCCTTCCTTCCCTCCTCCGTGGCTCGCTTTGAAATAGCAAAGCGGGAGAGGAGTCGCTTACATAGGTCATCCGGTTGGCTGCTTTAAATCAACCGTGCTCTCTGTCCCTCCCCTCCCCCCCCTCAGCTCAGCGAGCCGAGCCGGGGAGGAGGGAGAGAAGCAGAGCCTGCTTGTTTTAAAGGAGCAAAATGGGAGAGGAGAGGAGCCTTCTTCCCTTATACCCCTCTTCTGCATTATTAGCAGCATCCTTCTCCACACACCCCACACATGCTCCTTGTCCCTTGAGTGCTTTCCCTTCCCTCCCCACTTAAAACGTGGTTACAAAGCACGGTTCCACATGGATCCTCAGGATTTTTGCACTGGGTCACCCCAAATTCACCATCAGATCACATAGCATGTCCATGGCTACAGCCTGCACCAAAAAACACACACGCACCCACTGTTTCATGGGGCCGCAATGGCACAAAAACGTGGTTACAAAGCATTGGGCTACCCCAAACTCACCATCAAATCACATGTCTGTGGCCACAGCATGAACCACAAAAATCATACATCCACTGTTTCGTTTAGAATATTTTTTTCTTGTTTTCCTCCTCTAAAAACTACGTGCGTGTTATGGTCAGGTGCATGTTATAGAGTGAAAAATACGGTAACTTAACAGGCTGGGCAAGCAGCAATAGGGGCAGCTGGTGGAACTCAGTCCACCACTGAGAAGGGCAGGTCAAAACAACAGCTACTGCCATCCTCATTTTCTCAGAATCTCTGGGCCCCATCATAGCAGGGTTCAGACACTTTGGGAATAAAACAGGGCAGCAGCTATGCAGCCTTACCCAGTGCCTCACTTCACAACACCTGACTGCATGTCAACATTCAGAAAGCAGGAGAGAGTATGCATGTCAGCATCTGCCCAAACCATGGTCTGTGTGAAAGTGATATGAAGTGTAATGCTCAGACACTAATTTTATTTCTTTGGAAAATACACACGATGCATAAAGGACTGTGAGACCTTCACCCTGAAACAAGACTTGGCTCCAATTAATATACCCCAACATTCACACTACATATTTCAAGCAAATATAAAATGTTGGGCTAGGCAGAACATTAAAGCATCTCTTTCCTGGGTACATATCATCTGGGGTAATCCAAAGCTAAGCCTTTACAGTCATACCACGGGATAAATATGCTTCAGGTTGAGCGCTTTCGGGTTGTGCTCCGTGGCGACCTGAAAGTAACAGAGGGTGTTACTTCTGGGTTTTGCCACTTGCACATGCGCAGGTGGTCAAAATGACGTCACGCACATGCATGGAAGCAGTGAAACGCGACCCACGCAGACGTGCTGTCGCGTTTTACATTCTGTTTGGGATGCGAACGGGGCTCCGGAACGGATCCCATTCGCATCCCGAGGTACCACTGTATATCTATTTTGCCTATAATTGAGTGCATCATGAATAAAAGCTCTTCAGAGCCAGTGTGGTGTAGTGGTTAAGAGCGGTAGTCACGTAATCTGGGGAACCGGGTTCGCGTCTCCGCTCCTCCACATGCAGCTGCTGGGTGACCTTGGGCCAGTCACACTTCTTTGAAGTCTCTCAGCCCCACTCACCTCACAGAGTGTTTGTTGTGGGGGAGGAAGGGAAAGGAGAATGTTAGCCGCTTTGAGACTCCTTAAAGGGAGTGAAAGGCGGGATATCAAATCCAAACTCTTCTTCTTCTTCTTCTTCACAAGTTTTGGGCTCAATACAACACTGAGATGGGCTTATGTCAGGTGCATATGACTCCAGGGTGCAAAACCCCCATTTCCTTCCTACTTACATATATTGGCCTAGGATCATCATGCTTGAACAGTACCTTGAACAAAAATAAACTTGGGATGGGCACAGTAGCTATGTTCAAACCACAGTTTAGCATAACATGACAAGCCACGCCTAGCCTTTGGCTCAAACCTTTCCTCCTGTGTAGTTACTTCTAATTCAGCATAGCTTGCCACCTTCCTCAGAGTTGTGGTTTTAAAAGTACAGCTGCAAAAACCACAGTTTAAAGTTGGCTTGTTTAAAACTAACCACAATTATTGCTAACCACATTTTGTTGGTGTGGACAACATGGCAAAATATAATTAGCTACCTTGTTCACATAATGTTAAACCATGGTTGAACATAGTCACAGCTAGGGCAAGTCATATGGGACCATCTCCCAGTTCCAGGGGTTCTAATGTGCGGTGACTCAAAGCTGATTTTGGGAAGGGAAGTGTGCAAATTCCAGTACTTTATTTAACTGAATACAATAAAAGACCACACCTTACTCTTATGCACCTAGTTTTAATCAATACTTTTCAGAAAAGAAAACACAGCCAGATGCTTTAAACCCATTATTTTATTAATTTATATCCCACCTTTCTTGCATAATGGAACCCAAGGCAGACGACAGGTTGCTGACATTAAGACTATGTACAGTTTTCTGTTTGCCCCAATGCTTTCCCTGGGGAAAATTGACTATTACTGCTGAATCGGAACAAACATCAATACGCAGAAAGCAGTGGGACAAGCAGAAGTAGAGACAAGCCCCTATAGCTTAGGAAAAAAACCTAGTACTTGAAAAGCAGTAGTGATAGCCACAATAAAGAGATTAATTTACTCCAGTGCTAATTTTGGATTCAGTTTTGTCTTTAGGGAGAAGGGGGGGGACTTTATAGTAGGCAGTCTCCAACAAAATGTTAACCTCAATTTCTTTCCCCCCCCCCTTTTTTTTAATTCAAAATTATAACAAGACATATTATCCAAAAACATATCATCCTTATTTCCCCCCCATTTTTCCTCCCTTCCCCTCCCCTCCCCTCAGAACCCCACCCCCCAACTTCCCTCAGTTCCAGTCTTTGGTTTCTCTAATAATGCTGTTTTCTGCATGTTACAAAGTTGTATAGATCCTCAAACTGTTTAGCTAATTATTATCAGTAAAAAAATTTCTGAATGTTTATTCAAAACCTGCCAAAACCCAATCCACTTCAGTTTACTCATCTCATACCAGCTGGCCATATATATATCACAGTCCTCCATTTCTGATCTTTGTTTATAACTTCATAATTTTATCACCACAGTATTATATTTATATAGCACCATCAACTGTCGCCTGGCAGTAGCAATTCCATCAGGCTATCTCAGAAGGAGAGATGGGAAATAGGGCTCATCCCATCAGCTCTGCTGAAAGACCAACCCCATCAAACGTCTCTGATGCCAACCAATCTGTTTCTACACTAGCTAGTCACTGTAGGAACTACTGTTTGAATTGGTGCCTGAGTTTGCTTTCCCTTTTCCATCTCTGTCCCTTGTGTGATTTGTTTTTTTACTGTGAGCCTCTAGGCAGGGACCGTCTTGTTTTAATTCATTTTATGCAAGCCACTCTGGGAGCACTTTTTGGTTGAAGTGGGGATGCAAATGCTCTAAACAAACAGACATGATACTTTACAAAGAACAAGAAACCAGGTCCCTACCCTGAGGGGCTTACACACTATAATTTTCAACTGGAAGTCTGGCAGGAGCAATTTACGCAACACATGTCAAGTCATACCGAGGGCTGAAATGGAAGAAGGATGTGCTGTCAAATACAGCAAAGTCAAGACACTTCAGAAATAATGCATGTGCAATTTATGCCACCTACATACACTTTACATATGTCAACACTCAGCCAGCCTCTAATTCCTATATTTGTCCTCAATACTTAATAGTTTCTCTATCCATTTGGAGGCAGGGAGAAGAAGCTACAGGTGAAACAATGCAGAAGAGCTGAAGGCTGCTGTTGAAGCAGCCTGGTCTTCCATAACACCTCAGCAGTGCCACAGGCTGATGGCATCCATTCCACGCCGCATTGAGGCAGTAATTGATGCAAAGGGAGCCCAAACCAAGTACTGAGTACATATGCATGTTTCTACTTCTCAGAGGTCCAATATCGCTCTATTTGCAATCCTTGTTTTGCCGATTTCATTTACTTTTCTAATTTTCTGAAACTATTAATTTGGGGTTTTCATCAGCTGTATGCCATGATAATCACAATTATAACAAATAAAGGCTTGACATATCTCACTTTGCATGTCCTGAGTCTATATCATCTATTAGTTTCACCTTTTAAGTTGAATTACTGAAATAAATGAACTTTTCGATATTCTATATGGCTGCTGTAACTTTGACAGGGCTGGCAAGTAAATGCAAAAAAAGGTGCTTAAACTCAAAACACACCATGGGCATGATGTCGTCAATGTCAAGAACAGATAATAACCAAGTGGGCTGCAAATAGTATTATCCGGGACTAGCCTGCCTAGGTCCCTGCAGAATCCCACCAGGGTGTCCAGCCTTCCAGCCGCTTCTTCCCCCCCCACTGTGCATATTTAACCACCGCCCCTGCTAATATCCTGCCTTGGGCTTAATGACACCATGGCCGTGTCCCGTTCTCACAACCCACCTACAGATCCTTATTCCTTAAAAAAAAAAGGTGGGGACGAGAGCCCCCCCCCAGCCCACCACTATTTCGCCTTGAGGAAAAGAGCAGCCCAACACGCCTTCCCAGCTTATAGGGTGAGAGGGCAGCTGCAAGAGCCGTTGAACCGCTTCAGAACCACCGTCCCGTTTTAAAAAACCAACACCAAAAAAACCGAAGCCAAGGTGAGGCGTTTTAAATTGAGCCCCGCCCTCCTCCACGCAGCTCCCGCGCGCTCACCTTCCCCCCACCCTCCTCAAAACCACGTCCTGGACTGACCGTTACCTGCGACGCTCACAGGCAACTCCCGAGCGAGCGCCTCTTCCCCCCCCCCAACCCCCGTCACTCTCGCTCTCGGCTCCCGCCCGCCGCCGTTACTCCGAGCTCCCGCCGCCAAGCTCTGATGAGTGCCCTCCCGGCAACCTCCGCGCGCGAGCTAGCACCTCTATCACGTGACCCCCGCGTGAGGGCGCCGATCTATTTACAAGCGCAGCGGCTCCGAGTCAACGGGTTTCCTGCGTCTCTTTCTCAGACTCTACTCCTCTTCGCCTCCGCCCATTGGCTTACTTCCGCCTTTGCCCTCTTGATTTCCCCTCCCGCAATTTCCGGTCTCCCCTCTTTTTTTTTTTTTCCCCCTCCCCCTCCCCTTTTCTCCTCCCACCTTCACGGAATCCTTTTCCGGGTTCGCTTGCGGCGCGCGGCATTGTGGGAGGCAACCTTTTTTCCCTCCCCCCCTCCTTCAACCCAGCAAGCTCCCTTGGGGCGCATGCGCAGTGACAGCCTCCCATCTTTCTCTCAGCCAGAACCAGAGCCTCAGCAGCAGCGGCAGCAGCTGATGATGAAGAAGAGAGGGAAGGGGGGGGAGATTGGGGAACCTTTTATTTATATTGTTAAAGGGACAGAGCACTAATTCCACCTTGAATTGGTTTGCGGGGAGGGCTCGGCCTGAGGAGATTTGAGTTTCTCCCCCACCCGCAGCCTAGCTAGAGGATCCCAGAGAGAGACAGTGAGAGAAGGAGAGTTTCTTCCCCCGCTTCGGCCGTCAGAGGAGAGAGAGAGAAGAGAGCTAAAGCCTCTTAGCAACACGGTCCCCCCTCTCCTCCTCTTACTACTATTGCTGCTGCTGCTGCTGCTTTTTGGCCCTGGCTGGAGACACCTCACCACACACACAGCAGGAGCAGCAGCAGAAGCCAGCTCTCTCTCTCCCCCCCTCATCCCCCTGCTCTCCCCTCCTCCCCCTTTATTACCCTTTGTGTGTGTCTCTCTCTCCACTGCTCCAGGAAAGGAAATAAAAGTGGGGGGCAGCTAAGGTAAGCCTATCTGGGTATGGGAGAAGGAGGTAAGGCGAGCAATGCCTGCTCCTGCTCCACAATTTCACTCTGAGGCAAGCAGATCTGGATTGCTGGTGGGAGGGGGGGTTGTTTCTCTCTCTCTTTTTACTTTTGACTATAAGAAGCGGTTTGATTGTTTCCTGGTTGGTTACATTTGGGTTTGGGGGTTTGCTTGGGTTGGGGTTTTTTTTTGAGAGAGATGCAGAGTGAAAGGTATCAGCATTGTGTTCTGATCTTGGCCAGTACTGTAGAGGATATTTGTATATTATAATTTGCTCACTCGTTGGGTAATGAAAATGCCACATTCCATGCTCTTGTCTAGTGTTTATTTATTCCTTCCTACGTAATCAAGTGTCATTGATTTTTGTTTTATTGCTTTGGTTTTTTTTGTTCCACGTTGATGCTTTGCTTCTGGGCATATACAAAAAGTCTTCCAATCTGCTGTTCTTATATAGTATATGTGGGGATATCTATATCTAAATATAGATATATAACTACTTACTGTTGGTAGTGGTCTTGGGAACTTTCTGCTATGTAGAGAGACAGATGTTGACTCAAAGGGTGACTTGGAAAAGGCTTTTCCCTGAAGTGTCTACATAGTATTTGAATTTTTGGTATTTAAGATTGGCAGTATGAAATAGAAGCACCTGATTGTGTATAGTTAATTTGTTTAGGTTATGTCACTTTTGAGATCCTGACTTTGCAAAGGGTTTTATACTTGCTCATAATAATAACTAACACATCTATTTAGCATGTTTGTGATCCATGAAATGATGCAGGTTTGAATAACATTACATGAGGTAAATATTGTTAATGCCATTTTAGTGTCACCTGTTTCTGCTGAGACCTCTCATTTGTTTTTATTAAGGACTTAAGAATCAAACTTTCCATTTTACCTCATCATAAAAATTAAAGCCAATCCTATATATATTTACTTCTTTATAAATCCCATTGATCTGGAGTAAAACTTTGCTGTAAGGGTGCAATTTGCCCAGTTTAAATTCTATTTACTACTTTGCAAAAGTGGAATAGAAGCTTGGAAAATATGGTGATTATTGCAAGTCACATTTGGTACAGCTTTGGCAGCTCTGTGGTGGAGTTATTGTCTTTGTGTTTTTATTCTGAAATAGTTTAAAGTAGGAGGATATTTACTAAAGCTGCAATGTGTGTTTGAACTGTGAAATGTGCACAGATGGCCTATGCATTTCAATAGGCCCAGGGAATCTGACCAAAGTAACATGCAGCTTGATATGTGATGCTTCTCTACTATTTGAAGTCAGCAAGTGATTCTGGCCTTCTGAATACTTTCTCTGATAACATGATTTGTTGGCAAAAAGTACCTTTTCTAATCTTAATGGCAACATAAAACTTGTACTTTTGATCAGGTCAGATGTCTGGTGAAAAACAAATGTGGAAAGTCAGTGGAAAAGCTTCAGCTGTAACTCTGAAGGACAGCTTGCCTTCAGTATTCAGAGTGCTAAGCAAGATAACTTTCTGTTGAAGAGGGGGGAAGTATTTTATATGGATACATGTGAAGTAGTGATCCATTTATATAGATACTGGTTTTTTTAAACACAATTTTAATCTTATTAAAAGCTGGGCACTTTAATTTAGTTCTGGAACAGCCTATGGGTTTTAATTGTTCTGTTTTTTTCTGTTATGGTACATCACACCCATAGAGAAACCTGAGTTTGGTTCACTTTAACTTCAGGTACTGTGCTGTCTTAAGGTTTGTTGGTATCCAAATTGGACTGTGGAACATTATTAACATAAATATGGAATTATTTTCATTTCTTTACTGATGGAATAATTGTAAGTGTTGATAAATAATATGATACAGCTTTGATTATTTATTCATTAATAACGTATGTTTTTAGTGCAGTAATCTGAATCCCTTCAGTGAACTGATCATAACACTTTCAGTTCTAAGCATACTTTGAATTCACAGGAACTTTTTTTCCATTAGACTTCATTCAAAGTGAATAGATTTATGATCAGAACCCGATTCTCTAATTCTGTGTATGTATACATGAGAATTGGCTTCATTGAGTGTTGCAAAACCTACTCTGAAGTAAACACTCATAGAATCAGGCTTTCATAGACTTTTACAAACAATTATACATATTTAACATTATTTGCGCTGTTAGGAAAACTAAATAGTAGACTTCAGCATATGCCTAGGCCTTTGCCAAGCCCAACCATTACTAATTTCAAAACTTACTATTCATTATTTTTATTTCAGATATAAAATAATCTTCAAATTAAACCCAATCACAAAACCCACCAAAAAACAAACTAGTACTGATTTAATTTAATTTAGCTATATGTTTCTTTGAGATAGTAAAATAGAGAGTAATGTTTTTTGTAGGCGGATCCTTGAATCTGAGTCTTAGAACTGGAGTATGTGTAGAGGCAAGAAAGTGAGTATATATAGGGACCATAACTCAGTTACACAGCACATTCATTGCATGAAAAGGTTTATAGGTTCAATGCCTGGCCTATTCAGGTAGAGCTGGGAAACAATATAAGCTATTATACATTTGTGTATTATACATCTGTTTGGGGAAGAAATTGGCTTGTTCAAGACCTTTTGAAGAAAACATATGGGGGGCATGAACAGAGTGAACTTGGTAACAATCTAAAGTAGCACAGGAAAATCTGCCTGGTTTTATCGTTAAAATTTCTTAAGGAACTCCTCATTAACACATCTTCATAAGGCCTTTGAAATGTTTATTGGAGATCACTTTGGTGATAGTCCTTAAACCATACAACACAGATTAATTTGTCATGAATAGGACTTCGTAGGAAACATATTTTGAAAATAGTATCTGTAATTCTTAAAATACATCTATACTAAGATTTCTTACAGCTGGGAAAGCTATGGTAAAGTCTAGGGCCAGTTGAATCAAAGCATCTCTCCCATCTCGTCCAAATACTTGATCAGTTGAATCCTATATATATTTACTCAGAAGTAAGATCCATTTACATTTGTAAGTTTCAATAAACATGGATAGGAACTTGCTGTTCGGATTATATGCACATTCTGTACGCACATTCTAGGTTATGTGTTGTAAAAATAATGTTTCAGTTTTTAAATGTCAGTTATAAAGCTATGAACCAGCTCAGCCTTGTTCTTTAAACACTGGTATTTGCACTGGTTTTGCTGGTGGTTCATTCCACCTGTTGTTCGTGCAACTGCAGCAAACATTGAGAGTGGGCCAAAGCTATTTTGCTTGTGGAAAAAAAAATATTTCTTGGCCAATCCAGTGAGGAGAGGTCCGTCCTGATAGGCATTGTGTAGCTAAATTCTCCAGTGCCACTTTAAAGTTCAAGCGCCTTGAGTGCTTAGAGTTTCTAAAGCTTATTAGGGTTTTTTTGGCTGCTTAGTTGTTCCCCTAGATTATACTCTATGATATTTTGAACATTATTTTGTCAGTCATACTATGAAATCTTGCTAGTAGCCTTTAGGAAACAGTATAATAATAATAATAATAATAATAATAATAATAATAATTTATTATTTATAGCCCACTCATCTGGTATTGTTAAAGAACACAGGAAGCTGGCTTCTACAGAGTCAGACCATTGCCCCATCTAGCTTAGTATTGCCCACATTGTCCAGGGTTTCAGACAGCTCTATCTGGAGATGCTGGGGTTTAAATCTTGGACCATGAGCACGCGAATTAGATGCTCTACCACTGAACTATGGTTCTTCCCCCAAGACGTTTGATAGGATCGCTTGAACAACACCAACGTTTCTATTGCCACTGTTGATGTTGTGAAGTCTCATGTATAGCCATATTATTGATACATTCACTTGATCTCCAGTTGATCTTTTTGTTATAAACTTTCAGGAATCCTTCACCAAGGTTGCAGTCTGATTAGGAGCAATTATTAGCAGTAAACCTTGTCAGTTTCCTTTGTGTAGTTGCACTCCTTGAGCATGATCACTGCTTTTTTCCCTTTTTTTTAAACATAGAAATAGTTGTTTGCATCAGCTGACAGTGTCGATCAATCATTACATCAAGTATGACTTACTTTTCAAAACTTTGTTAAATATAACATTTATCCTTTAAATTTTATTTTTATATAGTGCTGGATGGGCATTCTCTAGCTATTGGAATAAATGCTGAAACATTTAGGTACACCTAAGCTTTTTCTGGATGTCTCCTTCATGGAAACTAGGAAGTTAATACTTACCTGAGAAGAGGGCTTCCTATACCCATTCTGTCCTGCCTTAGCTAGAATGCAAAATGCAAGCAGCACTGTCTCCTCAATCTCATATTTTGATTTTATTCTTATTCACTGTCAAGTACCCCTTGTAGTATTCAGGACCAGGGATTTACTAACCAGAATCAACCTTGTATAGCTGTACTTTCTTATTTTGATATTACCGTGCTCCAGAAGATACTCCCACTTTGCCTACAACAGTATCTGTGTTGAGTATTTCTATAACTCTTTTTCTCAACTTGTCAGGTCTTTAGTGTTAGCAACCTTAGTAGCTCTTGTGTTTTCGGGCTATTAATCCCCACCCCAATATTCTAAAGAGCTCCTTTGGCTATATCAGTCTTCGATGCAGAATGGCATTAAATTTGACACATGGCTTCTAACGTTCTTTTCTTCTGGAAGGCTGCACACCAAACCTTTTCCAATTGCCTCACAAGGGTAGATTGTATATGTGGATATGTTTCCTAGAGCACACTGAACTTTGGGCACTATGGTGACATTCCAGGTGCAAAATTATATGTGTGTTCTCTTCAGTTTTAATCTGTTTTAATTACCAAGCTCAAGATTGTGATGAGGTTCAGGGTACTTATTTTGGTTTTCACAGATGTTCTCGGATGTCTTCAGTGGTGCTGTGGCTACTCTTCAGAGAGCCCATTGATGGACACAGATTAGGTGGCTGCTATCCCTGAAAGCAACCTGTATCCAGCAGAGTAGTCAGGCTCTGCTGCAATCTATTATTGCATCATTCAGTA